ATCGGACGCTGCTGCACCCAACCTTACTAAGGGTGGCTAACGGGGGTCACTATGCGAGTCGTTGTCACCCTCCGGCATGAAGTATTTATCTCGGTTTGAGGGCCGAGGTTACTATACGGATGAGGTCTCACTTTCAAACGAGGTTTGACAATATAGTGTTTATACGTGATGGGTAAACATCACAACCTGTAGCCTCTACTTAGCCTGTTGCTTCTGCCTATTATGAAAGAAGTCGATTCGCTACTGAGTGTCCTTGTGACACATCTGCCATATTGAGGAAGTAGTCTTTGCCCACCAATTTACTAAGCAATGGCACCTATAACCAGACGGTGGTCTTAGCATTTATTATAGGGGTTGGACTAACTCGAGCTAGGCCCGTCATAACAAGCGCCCTTTTAATGACCTATATGAGCCTTCATCCACCCTCAACATGATTATTAAAGCTCAAAAGAATTTCGTGCTTATTTCCTTACCTAGGACGACCTGCCCTTCTCAGCCCAATTTGGCTTATTCATTCATCATGTGTATTGAGCCAATCATTGAAGACCCCCCTCTCAGGAGAGTTTGACTTTATCCTCCCATAAGTGCTTACATCCATCTATAGATGCCTCAACGCAAACATTACCCCTATCTCTATATCCTTTCAATTTCTTTTAGCCTCCCCAACCAGATAAATCGACCAAGAGAAGAGCTCAAGTTGATCCATATGAAGCCGAAGTCGTGGGTAACGGCTAGGGCCCAAGAGATTACAGTGCATAAGGTAAACTCTTTATCTAATGAGCTTGATTTAAGAAATCATAATTGAATTTAGGGACAATGGTTCGAATGATGTTCCAAGTGGGAATGAAATTGATGTTACTCAGATTTCGAAGTCAAGTGAATCGTCTATGGAAGGGCAATCCTACCTCCAGGGCCTCGTCAGCCTTGGCTGTGACCTCGAGTGTTAGCAATAGATGGTTACGCCCCCTCCTCTATTTCATAAGATCAACATTGATGAGGCATGGTCTTCTGGTTATTTGGCGACATTAGTCGGGGTTGTGATATGTGAATATAATGGTTTCTTTATTACTACTACTACTACTAATAATCGCATTATGTCTTCTCCTATTGAATGTGAGGCTTTTGCAACAGTGATGAGGCTTTCTCTTGCTCTCTCTTTGAATCTACCAAATGTCATTATTGAGACGAATTGCCTTGAACTTTTCTCTTATGGGAATGAAAGTGGTTCTTTAGAAGATTGGAGGATTTATCCTTTCTTGGACGATTTAAGACGATTCCAGAATTTTTTCCACAACTGTTTTTAGAATTGGATTCTTTGCGAAGCTAACGGTGCCATTGATGATGCTGCTAAGCTTGCCAAAAAGAGGTTGTGCATTTGCAACTAGGTTAATACACCCCCACCCTCCTTGGTTTTGATTCTCTCTAGGGATGGCCTTCCTGCTCCTCTATGAGTCTATGCCTATCTTGGCAGGCAGAATATTTTATTTGTAATTTTGGCTTGAAATTTTTTTGCTTAGCTTGCTTTTTGTTGGCTTTTGTTCAGGTTGCCTTATTCTCAAATTTGAAGCGCCAATTTGTGTGAGCCTAACCCCCTTTAGCATTTGTCCCAACCCCCTTCAGCATTGGTCCCACTCCCTCCGATTCTTTTTGATCTCTCAACCCCTACTTTTAAAATGTGTCGTAGATAACTTAATTTAATGTCGGGTATTTTAGAAATATCATTAAAATTGTGTCATCAAAAACATTTTTCTATTAGTATTGGAAGCATAACAACAGGTGAGACTTTGCCTCGTGAACACAATTTCACGTACATATATACAGTCCCCTTATATTGAGGGACACCCTTTAGGGTATCCTACAAATTTTTTTCCAATGATCCAAACCATCTATTTTTAAGTCTACATTCATAGATCATGCAAAAAAAAAAAAAAAAAAAAAAAAAAAAAAAAAAAAAATCGACAAAGCCGTTTCGATATCCAATTGTATTCTACAAAATCAATGAACATGGTGCTTCAAGAAAATATTAAAATTTTAATAACACAATTGAGTGGTCAAACAATATCGGATTCAAGTGATTTTTTTTGTAGAGATGATATTTGAATGATTATCTAAACCATAGACGGTTTGGATTAGTGAAATACAATGTGGAGTGAGCCCTACAAAGGTGTCTATCAAATAAGCTAATTTGAGGGATCCCTCAATACTTCCATACTGGTTTGGATAAAAAATTTGATTTCATGAGCAATTTAAATTTTTGTAGAAATGTCAACTGGACTTATATCTCAATTTCAATTTGTCCCCTTAAAGAAACATTTAAGAGAAATGTCAACTTAATTTTTTTAAATTCATGATTTTATATAAAACTGAAGTATATGTTCAGATGACATTTGTAAAAAAAAATCCTATAAATTAATGAAGCATATAGATTATTCCTAGAAGAGCCATCATCTTTGGTTTGGTTTGGTTGGAATCAACCTTAACTTTCTTTTTATTTTAATTTGAAGTGCGCCTTTAATCATATTGTTTCTCACCTCCTAAAGTGCTAGTTCCTTTTTCTTGCTCCCCATTTTTTGGGTGCTTTTGAATCCACTACTTTTTTTGTTAGTGTTTTTTTACTCAATTTTAAGTCAACTAGTGCCGAGTTGGGATTTATGCTAATTTTAATTTCAGACCATGCCATAAAATGAGCATTGAAATTTGAGTGCATAAAGCCTAGAGGCAATTTGAGTTGACTATTGAAGACAATGATGTTAAAATCTGTATTTGGACAGTTGCTTAGATCTTGAATGATTGCCCCCACAACATTTAAATTTGATATGTTTGACACAAAACGTGATGCATGGAATCTGCAATGTGGGCGCAACTTAAAGTATCTCTCCCCCAAGATATTTTGCTCTTTTCCGAGGGTAATGTATGGTGTTTTCAGGGGTGTCATTAGAGTGTAAACTCGAGACCACTGAACTACAAACAAATGCTTTTATTATTGAGCTATAGATGGTTGATTTAATCTAATAATAATCCGATCTTACTCATTTTTTTTTAATTATATATATTTTTTATAAATATTATACATAGGTTTGTTGTGCGGAAACACTCAATATCTTATTATCAATGGATTATACGACGTGCACACACAAACCGAAGATGTGATTTTCCCTACACTGACTAAAACAGACTTAACCAAACCTAACCACCTATAACAAACTCTTAACATATACTCGGTAACTAGACTGACTAATATGGCTGACTAGATTGCTATGAATAAGGTGCTGACATGGCTTGCTGGAATAAGGCTACGTAAGCTATCATCCCCTCGCTTAATAAGGTGCTGACATGGGTTCATTCAATTGATGCTCACTAATAAATACTTACAAATAATATTTTTAAATATAAAACGAGCTGGCTTGGACTGGTTGGTCCACATTGGGCTCAAACAAGAGGAGCCGTTGGCCCATGGGCTCGGCATGGATTTTAATCCCTTGACCCAAGCACTACCTAATAAACTGTCGAGTCGAAACGACTTTGACACGTTGGGTTCGAGTTGGCCCTCTTCAACGCTCGTGGCACACGCCAAATTATGATCCGTACGTAGACTCGTGACAAAAGCCTAATGATATATTCCACCTCCCCACATACAGTTTGTGGTGAGCACTATTGCTTGGTCCAAACTAGACAAGTATTGTTGGTCGATCCGAAAGGATCAATGATGCCATGAACCTCGAAGAGGAAGAGGTCCAAGTAGAAATCAATCGCAGCACAGGACATGTCATTAGTACTCTTACTGACATCACCATCCATCCATATCCATGCAGTGTTGTCCACTTGAAACGACAACACATTGTCCAAATTTGATGGCATGGCATGCAACTCTGGTGATATCTATATGCTGCTCACAATCTTCATACATTTCATTATCATCAATCGATATAATGGTACCCCACGAGTCTTATCCTTGTAGCTTTGGTGATTAGCCAAAAGAAAGGGAAAAAAAATGCATAACTCTTTTTCCATGATCACCGTAATGCCACAACTTTTATTATTTTATTATTTTATTTATACAAGCGACACTGAGAGAGGGAGGGAGGGAGGAATCAAACTTAGGACCTATGGTCTAGTCAATGGTAAATACTCTTAACCACTTGAGCTACAAGCTCGTTACTAATATCCCATTTTAAGATGTAATTGTTCTCTAGCTACTAAAACTAATCAAACTTTTGAAAGATTGTGTTGAATGCAAAAAATTGATCAACGGGGCTATTGTAAAATCACAAAGAACACAAATAATTTAACGTGATTCACCCAAACTAGGCTACGTCCATAAAGGTTATTATTTACGTGGAGAGGCTTTAATATGGAAAGCTCAGTGAGTAAATAATATCTAAGATTTACAAGGCAAGAACACAATCTTGGATATAATAATTTAGATATTACATTGCCATAAAATTTGGAAGAAAGTATACCGATGTCAGCATGGCCATTATTTAGATGAAAAGGATCATATTCTTAGATAAGGCATCACAAAGAGAAACTTATTCTTTGTCTAAGCCACACTTTACTATTTGTTCACATTTTCAAAGCCTTATAAACAATGCCTCCTTTGTCCAAAACCAAAAAAGAAAAAAAACCAAAACCACTTGGCCCTTAAGAGGAGAATGACAAAACCACATGAGAAGCTACAACCATTTCCACGGAAAACTGAAAAAACAAAACCATCAGCTGTCAAATGAAAGCAAGGTGTGCCATTGTCTTCCTCCGGATAGATTTGCTATCCTAGGATGTAGAAATGGTCGCATTTCCCTTCAAAATGGTACGGAAAACTGGGACAGAACCAAAGTGAAGCATTAGTTCAATTTCATATAGGCATTCGTTCAGTAAACTTCCATGACTACAACGTATATGTACAGGAATCAAAAAGTACATGAGAAGCTGTAAACAGTACATAGGAAAATAGAAAAAGCAATACCATCTGCGAAAGAAAATAAACTGTGTCGTTGTGTCCTTCACTTTGTATAATGAGGTACAAAGTGCTCTCCTAGGTGGTGGAAATGGTCATTTTCCCCTTCAAGAATGCGGACAACCTGCAGTGAAAAACCGTTCATTTATATATAAATGCAGGATAGAGGCAGAAAACTTTGATGAAACAAGGGTCTCCATTTAGGCATTGGTATTTCTAACTACATTCACCACAAAGAATTTCAAGTGATGGCCCTCACATGTGAATCACATTGCTGTTATACTAGGTTAGAGTATATAAATCAGCCCCTAATGTGCATGATAGCCTAAACAAAGGCATGCGTGGACATTCAAAATTGAGAAGGTTGCGAAATCAGTTAATCTTCCTCCAACTTCTTAGTTGGTACAATGCAATAAAAATCCAAAAGATAAAATTTAATTACCTCTCCCATTGATGGACGCATTTCAGGGCTTCTTTGCACACATAAGTATGCGGCTTTAGCCATGAGGTACACTTCATATGTGTCATATGAATCTCCAATACGACGATCAATGAGTTCATGTAGTGCTAGCCTCTGGATTATTGGTTCTGCCTACGATTTCCATATAACAGACAAAGATTATTCAGATTGGAACAGAGAATTAGCACTTCTATCTTTTTTTGCCAGCGAGTAGAAAATATAAGATCAAAAAAATCACATCTTGAAGCCCAACATACCCACTGCCGTAGGGATTCATCTTTTTCTTTCCGTTTTGAATCAACAATCTTGCGTCCGGATATAAGTTGTAACAGAACCATGCCAAATGAATATACATCTGTCCGTACAGAAACAATACCATTCTCTGCATACTCTGGAGCAAGGTAGCTAAAAGGAAAAGAGGCTTACTTACGCTTGTTTATTTAAAATACCAAGAGCAATTTTCTGGAATGTGATACTCAAATGTAGAAAAAAGTTCACAGTAGTCCTCACCCTAATGTGCCAAGTATCCTTGTCTGCACAGGATCATCACTCATCTTCCATTTGGCTAGGCCAAAATCACCTAACTAAGTGTAGAAAGTCATTCTGTTAGCTTCAATAGTTTTTATTTTCTTCAGTTTCTTTTGTAGGAACTACTCAGAGCTTGCAACCAAAACCTTTCAATGTTCAAAGAAAAAAGAAAGCTTGAACTCCAAACCAGCCAAAGGGAGAAGCCCAAAAGGCATAAAAGGAAAGAAAAACAGGGTTATCCTTCGTTGTAAAATAAAATGAAATTACTAGATGCTGACAAATCAATTGTTGCATTGAAATGTTATGCTGAAGATCGGGAAATGGGCACTCAGAACTGAGAGTTAGAAAGGGCACAATTCAGAGTTACAACATGGTCATGATGTGTAAAACAAAATAAGCTCTAAATGAAATTTAATTATGAAGGAGCGCAATGTTAAGAACCTTGTAGTCTAATCTGGGTCTACGGAACTAATTCCTAATAGAGGAAGTAAAACAAAATAAGGCCTAGCCATGCAAGGAAAACAAAAATAGGGGGCCACCCCTGTTTTTCTATGCATCAATCCTCCCTCAAGTAGACTTGTCAAGAATTGGAAGAGGAGATGTTTCATGCTGCCCATTAGCATAGGACTATTCGCAGATAAAAAATTTACAAAATGATTCCTACGAGTCCTACTCTCAGGTGGCTCTAGATTTTGTCACAATTCTACTAAAGGATTTTTGAATTATCCGCATAACTAGCGCCACCAACCAAATCTCAAGTATAATAATTAATCATTTATTGAAACAGAAAATAGTATTATGCATTTCCTTGAAGGGCCTCATAAAAAGACAAACATAAAGAGTATTGTGTATTAATTCACCATGGGAACATAATCGTGTGTAAGAAGTATATTGCTTGGTCGCATGTCTCGATGAATTATAGGACCTCCACGACATTCTTCGTGCAGGAAACGCAATCCTTTTGCAGTTCCAATGGCGATAGCATGCCTTTGGTGCCATTCGAGGATTGCTGTGTTATCATCTAAGAAATAAACCGCAGAGAATTAACAAAAGAGGATCCACTAATCATGTTTATATGGTATCAGCATTAGAACTAACAATGATGAAAAAAAAAGTGTACTGGGAAAAAATTTTAACAGTAGTTTACCAAATAAGTGCCACTCAAGAGAGTTGTTGCAAATATATTCATAAACCAAGATATTTAGATTCTCCTTGCAACAATAGCCCAACAGCATGACTATGTTCTTGTGGCGTGCAAAACTTAAGACATAGACCTCAGAGTGAAATTCTGTAAAGCCTTGTTGACTTGCTTCTTTCCGTACCTTTGCTGCAATCTGCTGTCCATCCTTGAGCTCACCTTTATACACATGACCGTATCCACCTTCTCCTAATAAGTTCTCCTTTGAAAAATCATTTGTTGCTAGCTGTATCTCTGAGTAGCTGAATGTCATAGAATCTTTGATATACATTTCAGTCCTTGTTCCGCAGATGGAACAAAGAATTGGGGCCTCCGAAGATCGGTGTTGGAAGACACTTTTATTTTGTTCCTGGTTGATTTGGGGAACAATGGAGTGTTTATCTTCTCCTTTGGTTTTTGTGCCTGGACGACAGAAAATATTAGTCCATATAATAACACACACACACACACATTATTTGAAGTCAAGGGACCAAATTTTTTTGGATTGATCTATAACCCTGGTCATTGCTAAAATCATATCTTCCCTTGAAAACACCTTAATGCATCGAGTTATTTTAAGCTCTGATAAACATGTAAGGCATTCAGCACTTGTTTGTTATAATAGAATCATGGCCATATCTTCTTGCATCCTTCCGGTGGATTATGCAAAAATTCCACTACAGCACCTTCTTGTGATTTGAAACTGAATGGTAGATGGTTAGAGAGTCCATCTAGAAACCATATGCATCCATGTCATAGAAGTGGTGAAATACTAATTTTATTTTTCTTCATGTGGAACATGCAATCATTCTTGCCGTTTTGATGGAAACCTCATAAAACGTGTAAATTTAAAATAAGGGAGAAGTTAAAGTAAAACTTATTTGATAAGCTACCTACGAACTTTGTTATCCAGTTTGGAGATATTTATAACTTAATATCCAAAGAAGCCAAAAAACGATATGAATTGATAATTTGATATTTTGGAGGTTTGTGTCTTATGGTGAAACTCACTAAGTAAAGTTCTAGGAAAGCTGGCTCAGATTCTATGCATAATCCATTGAGATTGCAGCTGAGACAAAAAACTATAGCAGAAAGGACAATATATGTCTTGAGTTTGTAAAGCATTATAATATGCATAAAGGACTATGACAAGCTTCTGACCTGAATTTTCTTGCTTAGAGGAAGACGACAGATCCAACAAAGGACTATAGTCTCGTAACTTAGATGTAGATGAAGTTATCAAGTTGGTATTAAGCATATCAGAGCTTTCCAGTGCACCAACGGATACAGAGCAGCTTCTGCAAGCGATGGATGAGTGCTCATTGTTTCCATTACCTCGACAAGTGAATGGTGGAACAGGCTTGGATAATGAATAAAACAATTTGTGTTCTATAGTATCAGTATCATCTGCTGTATGAGGTCTCACAACATCCACAGCCAAGCTATCTTGAATTATTGCAACCTTGCAAGGTATCTGCTTAAGGTAGAACCTCATATCCCGTCTAAGGTGCCTGTTAAATTTTGCAAGTTATTTTTTAAGCTAATTCGAAACAGAAAGAGAATTGAACAGAAGCATGCTCATAAACACACACAGGGGATATAGAAACAAATGGAAAGTTGGATGGTACAAAGACAATGGGAGGCATTCTTTGACAAATTGGAATTGTTATTTGTTTTCAGTCCTCCAGATAAATGTGTGTATATATATTATGGCAACATAAGCTGGGAAGGTATATGTAGAAAATAACAAAGTACAAACGTGATATACTTTAATGACTAAAGAATCCATAATTATCATTCGTCATCAAGACTATTGATGGAAATATGCAACGAAGTAAGGAGTCTGAGGTTACGCACCAAAGAAGTTTAAGGATATTTAAAAGATAAAAATGTGGGAGAAAACTTCTCCAATATGAGCAGTTTTGATCCAGTTGAAGGTTTTACTTTTGAGTTGACAACGGGGATGACAATTATTTACTCGATTCAACAAAAATATCGCCTCAGTGGATTCTTAGTTTAATAAGCCATTAATCTTTGACAGAAAATCTAAAAGTACCCATTCATATTGCACAATGACCATCAACACTAAATTGGAGTACTTTCTAAACCATGTACCAGAAAGCCAGAGCATGGCAATATTATATACAGGGCCATATTTTAGTGATCTTTATTGCATGGAAAAATGACAGGACTATAACGACACGGAACCCGTTTCCATTTGCAGTACAGGATCTAAACTTGACAGATCCATCATAAATTAGTCTAGTCTTCGAATTTAATTTTTTTAATAACCATTCCCTTAATAATCTAAATGGCAGAGAATAAAATTTATGGGTGAAAGGAATTGAATTCTGAAGGACTGGTTTTCATAAGCAAATAGAGAAAAAGGAACTACCTATCAAGCACAACCCAAGCTGCATTACAGGCCATAATCTCTTGCAAAATAACCTGTTTAATGGGAAAACCAGCAGTAACTTTGACTTCAACGCTGACCTGAATATATCAAGGAAACTAATGTGGTGAACAATATAGCAATATATTTAGGAGAAAAAAATAATTTCTTAATTTATATAACAGTGGCAAAGTGGAAACTCTGAATAATCACAAAAACAAAAGCAGTATTCGAGCAGCATCATTCAGTTTCTCTTTATCTCTCTTTTTTTGGTACTACTAGTGACAGAAGTCAGAAAGTGACCAAAAAAAAATTGGACACCTTACAGTCACTCTGTTGATTATAATGTTGCAAAGTAATAGAATATGTCTACTAAGGTTGCCCCACCTTTCAGATTCTGATACAACATTTAGCTCAAATTCTTAGGTTAGGTTAGGTATGTCGTTGTATTTACATATTGCAAGATTTTCTAGCATGAAAATAACTTTTTGCAATTTTGGAAAGAAACTATGCCAAAGATCTAGACACATCTGGTTGAGAGAGAGTTAACCACTCCACCAATCTAGGAACATAATGAAAGCACAAGTTCATAAAACAGTTAAAATAGAAATCCTTAACCTCAGAGAATATATTACCCCTTGATTCTCACACTTTTCGGCACTTTGAAGAAGCATGTTAACATACACGTCAACTTTCTTTGTAACTTCTTCCTCCACTGCACGAATGCTTGTTCCAAAAAATTCTGGGAATGGTTTTGAATGAAATCCCACTGTTCCAACAAAGGCAAGAAAAGCAAAGAGACTAAATATCAGCAACAAGCACACTTACTTTTAGAATTTCTTGCTCATATTAATGTTATTGCAGCTGCAGATAAAATGAGAGAGCGTCCACCAAACCAATTGCAGAATATTCATGGACACAGATGCATATTGGATGAATGAACCACAATTAGATAGAAGATATTTGAAGGTGCATGTAGGATCAATGGTGGCAAAGTTGTCTCTGGTCTATTTGATTTGCTTGCTCCCTACGATAAAGATTTTCCAGTATGTGGCTATGCCTCTGATAATTATTAATCAGCTTTGTCAAAAGAAATTTCAAGGACATGGGTGATGAAAAATTTTAATGGAGAAAGGAAAATTAAAGATGAAATTTATAATATAAAGTCTATGTTATTTGCATCTTAATAACCAACCAACCAATCATGTGAAAATGAAATTCATAACAAATTTAGACATTTAAAACCAATTAAGAACAACTCTAGTTCATGTAGACAATTCATCAAACACTTACTGGGGTGAACCACCCTGTGCAAGACGCCCAGCAAAATGATGGTATCTCCTGAACGTAAAATGTCACCCCTCACTCGAAGACTATCGACAGTGAGCTTAAGCTCCGGCTCACCCCTGTCCCTGGTCGCATCATAGGCAATAACAACATGGGACGGCGTCATTGGGCTCGCCATGGACACTGTTTACAATATACCACAACAAGGTCTGAAATTTGAAGCTTGTTTTTAATGTTTTGGAGGTGGAAATGCTATTTAAAAGATGATTTTCCAAAAGGGTTAAAAATTTAAACTTGAAAGAGATTAAACCCATTTTTAGATTATGATTTCTTGGCCAATGGCAAGAGTTGTTCAGAGTCCTGAAAAAATTTCTTTCAATTTTTTTTTCTTTCAAAGCTTCTCTGTGCTATTGCATTGGAGAGTAGGTGCCTGATGCCCAGGAATAAATTCCATGGATATTCTCTGATTATACCAAAAAATGGCGCGAAATTGCTGTCTTCAATAGGGCCAATCAGATGAAAGCAAGGGAACTTGGGCATTATGTTGGCTTATGCTTTCTAACAGCTAGCGCTGTGTCTGCTAAATTAATGATTCCATCAAGCATTGGAGACTACCTATAATTTTGATTTCTGACCCAGTCATGTCCTGCTGTAAAAAACATTGGATTTTTAATGTGTGTTTTTTGTTGTTGGTACAATGTTAATGTATAAATTTAAAACTACATAGTTTTAATTTTTTTTCACCCATCACAATATATATCGTCTGCGTGATTCATGTGAATTGAACTTGAAACCAAATGCTAGTAATTTTGTTTTAATTAACTACTCTTTGTTTATTGTTATGATCCATTATGGATAACTTGTTTTGCTTATTTAATTAATTAAAAAAAAAGTTTAAACAATTCTTAGGATCATGCTGATTTTTTCTAGAATGTTAGATAAACAGTGCACAAACTTAACTAATCCGCACATATAGTGCTTGTCCTGAGGTACGAATCCATATTCCTCAGGATAAAATGTGAATGATGCGAAAGGATCCATATAGATTCCATGGGAATCTAGGATCATGCTTATTTTTGTTTTCTGTATGGTTCCAATTTCATCGATATGCCCGAGTGGACATTGGAGCATCAAAATGGTTTGATACTTTGATGGTCCTTTCTACTCCACAGATGATTGGTGAAAATTCTAGTGTAACCCCCCACCTCCATCATATCTCTTTTGCAGAATCTTCAAAGTTTTGCTGCTTTAGTTATAGACATGTTAATATTTTGCTCCTATTGCTGCTGCGCCTAAAGCCTTCATCAAAGGCAAACACTTAGGTCAATGACCAGCAAAAAAAAGAGGTTATAAACCTAAGAATTTCTCTATTCCAAATGGGCAGCTTTGGGCTCTGGGACCCATATGTATCAATGTCTCATAGTCATTACAGCACGAGCGTGCGTGGGGAACTGAGTTTAACATTCCTATACTGCAGTAATTTATCAGAAACACGGTGTGCCCAAACCTTTTCCATTTGTTATAATTTATATCCACAGTTATTGCATCTATCTGTATCTGTAAAACTTCTTATTTTCAAATGGAAAACATGATACAAGCAATGCTAACAGAACTACAGCATGGTACAAGAAATTCCTTACTAGTCAGGCCACTTTCACTGCAAAAACAATTACATCTGAGAACCGGACATTTCATTAGCATATTGGTTTAGTAACATATCAGCACAACTATAGCAGTACAAATTTGGCATTCCAAAACAATTTATATAACTATGGTTAAATGAGATTGGAAAAAATATATTCGTTAACTATATAAAATAATAGGAACAAGATGAACTCTTACTCTGCTGCTTTTCTTCATTCTTCTCCTCTTAGCACTACTTTGTTAAATTGTCAGTATAATCTTCAGCTTCCATTTCCCAACACAGTAATCTCAATATCAAATAAATATCCTTACCTCTATGAGGCTGTAATTGGTCTGCCTTAAAAGTATATACAAGGTTCTGTATCCCAATTTTACTACATCCGATCACATTCCTCACACCTTTAAGTTTCATGGCTTTCCTGACTCGAATCATACTTTCCCATCTTCCTCGCATTTCATATGCTCGAGCAAGCCTAAATAAGGTAGAGATGACTGTGCTTCCGACTGCATCATCCTCTGTGCAACTGTTTCAGTGAGTTTTAAAGTCTCCATGAATCACACAAGCACGAAGAATCGATTCCCATATCATGAAACTAGGTTCGTAAGGCATTTCTGCTACTATATCTATTGCTTCTTTGAGTTTACCAGTACTACTCAACAAATCCACTATGGACATATAGTGCTCGTCCTGAGGTACGATTCCATATTCCTCCCCCATGGATAAAAACATTGTCATTCCCTCATCAACTAAACCCCCAAGGTTGCAAGCTAATAAAACTCCTGCTAGTGTTAATTTATCTGGTGCAATGCCTTCACTAATCAATTCCTCAAAAATGTTCAGGGCCTCAAATACTTTACCATTATGAGCCATGCCCATAATCATCGTGTTCCAAGATGTCAAATCTTTCACACCCACATTTGCAAAGATTTTCATGGCATAATCTATTAATCCAACTTTACTGTAAAAATCAATAAGTGAACTAGCAACAATTGGATCTGACTCGAAACCTAACTTAACAAGCAAAGAATGGATCTGGCTACCCAACTCTGCTGGAAGAAAAATGGGCGCAGAATTAAGCAAACTGCTAAGTGTAAACTCGGTTGGCCTCAGGTTCTCCCTCAAGGTTAACACAAAAAGTTGCACAGCATCCTCCACACAGTCATGCTGTGCATAGCTTGAAATCATGGAATTGCAAACAGCTGAATCCCACCAATCTAGTTCTTCAAAGAGCCGGATTGCATCCTCCAATCTGTTGCACTTGGAGAACAGATCAATAGCAGCACTTGATACAATGCTATTAGATAAGAATCCCACCTTCAAGCAGAAAGCAAATATTTGCTTACCCTTTTCCAAATTAGGCAAGTTACAACAAACATTGATAACAGATGATATTGTAAACTCATCAGGTGAATGCTTGGTGCTTCTCATCTGAAAGAACTGATCTAGTGCCAGCTCTGCATACCCTGATCTATGACAACCCGATATCAAAGAATTCCATGAGATAATATCCACCTCCTCCATAGCGAAAAACACACCAAAAGCATAATCCACACATCCGAGCTTTCCATACATGTTAATCAAAGAATTCCCGAGTATCAAATTTGATAAATTCATACCATTCCTAATCATACCACCATGAATTTGCTTACCATGACAAGAACACGTCACAAGCGACGTTACAATTGAGAATGTGTACTCACTTGGTCTCATACCCGCGATTTGCATTTTTGAGAAAAGGCAGAATGCATTATCAAAAAACCCACCTGAAACACAACCTGAAATCATCGAGTTCCAACTAACTACATCTCTAACAGGCATTTCAGCGAACATATTGTGTGCCCTTTGAAGCTCACCAAATCTACAGAACCCTTTCAAGCAAATGTTCCAAGACACAATATTCTTATCGGTAATCTCATCAAACACTTTCAATGCATCGTACAGGGTGTTACCAAACCGAAAGTAAACATCGAGGCAACGGTTACCCAGAAAAGTATGGCTGTTAAACCCCACTTTTATCAACTGGGCATGTATAACTTTGGCAAAATTTAAAGACTTTAGTGACAAACAGTGATCTATTAGATGAGAATAATAGGAGAGTGAGGTTTTATGAAGCCCATGAAATTGCTTAGAAAATGAGTGCATGCAAGCTCAGTGCTTATATGAAATGCAGAAATTGCTGCTTCTGAGCAATGCAGTGTTTAAGCAGTGATACGGTACCGTTGTGCACGTGATTTTGCTGCTGGGTCTGCTTCTTCTTGTTCCATCGACGTAGCTACCAATCGGGAACGAACCAATTATGAACGCCTTGAATGTGAAAGCATTAACACTTTCAACGGTAAGTTTCCCTCCAGCGCAAGAAAAACGGAGTCTTGTCTCCGGTTAGTTTTGTCAAGTTTGGGTCGCCGTACTTTTTTGAGATATTTATTCAAAACCCCATCTGGTCAAATTTGGGTCCAAAAGTAGACTTTTCACTAGATCTATTTTTGGTAAAGGGGACAGACTCACTATCCTAACCAATTAGGCTAACCCACATCTCTTACATCTTCGCTTCGTCTTTAGCACCTGGGAAATAATTTATGTTCTCTAACTCTAAGCGTGTCATTTAAATATCGAATGGTACACTGATATTGATTAAGCAAGAAGTATACATCATTGGCAGGAGCTCCACATCAGGTTGCTTTACATATGTTTGAGGTCATCTTGTCATTTGACATATCAAGAAGTTGCTAGGTAAAGTGTTGAAGCAGAATAATGTAGATTCTAGTATTGCTCATTAATCTAGTTCAACAAGACTAAGACAATGACAAACAATGTGTTTTACAACTCGTTATGCATTGGATATTTATGCACCAACTTGAGGGCAGTGTTAACATAAATTGTAAATATTGAACCAGTTATTTGTTACTTAATACTTATTTTGTGTAGTCTATTTGGGCCTAATTAGGTTCGATTACTTTACTTAAGGTCCACTCCTTTTGTAACCTAGTTGTAACCATATATATATTTTCTCATCCCTGTCACGGATGTTCGCATCAAAACACCTACTTTCATAAGCAAGGTTGGAGCCCAAGGAAGCTTTCAGACAAATCCTCATACAAAAATGTTTGGGAGTAATGAATTTGAGGTGCCTTGTACAAATACTCTTACAAAATCCCTATCTTGCAGCAGCCTTCCGAAAAACTGATATCTCAGTTTCCCCATTTTTTCAATTCGAAGGTGTCTCTTGATATCACTCTTCACCCGGGACCTCTATAATCTTTCGTGCTCCCTCATGCTCGCTTGCAATGCAAGAAAAGCAGCGGGCAACGCGTAAGTGAATTTTTCTTCCTTTTTGGCTCCCCTCTTTCTCTACAATTCTCTCTCTTGGCTCTTGCACTTGTTTCCCCATTAGCTTTTTTCTCTGGTTTCGGCCCTTTATCCTTTGGGGTTCCTGTTTTCCTTGAGTTGGTTTCAAGCATATTTGGGGGCTTTCCAGTGAAGCAATATATGCAGAGCGCCTTTGACAGTTGAATACCGGAACACGCTTGGACATGGAATAAAACCGTTTGTGCTCTACAGTATCAGTGTCTTCTATTTGATGAGCTCTCACAACCTCCACAGCCAGGCTATCTTCAATCACTGCTATCTTGCAATGTATGTGCATAAGGTAAAATTCCAAATATCGTTTGAGGTGCCTGTTAAGCGTTGCAAGTTGTTATTTTGAAACCAAATGCAAAATAGACGAGAATTTACACAGGAAGGCATGCATGCATGCACATTGCACACAAACAAACACATACTTGAGAAACAGATAAACAAATGGAAAATTAGATGTTAATTGTTTGGGATTCTTGATTGTTTCACCAACGCATAATCAAATATGATAAACAAGCAGCCAACAAAGGAATTACCTATCAAGTACAACCCAAGCTGCATTACAAGCCATAAGCTCTTGCAAAATAACCTGCTTAACTGGACAACCAGCAATAACTTTGACTTTAATGCTCACCTGAATATAGGAAGGAAACTAGTTTAGTGAATAAAACAGAACAGCAAATAATGGGGAGATTGATAATATTATAACAGTCATGATGTGGAAACTGTGCATGAATACAATAACAGAAAGCAGAATTTGAGCATAAATTTTGTTTTTTTTTTTTTTTTTTTTTTTCCTTTTTAGTAATTGTAAATTACTAATACTACGGAAAGAAAATAAAAAACAAGAAAAAACGAAGACACCTTCACAGCTACTAGGTTGATTCCAATCTTATAAGTAATAGAATATGTATGACAAGAAATAGACCCCAACCTCTCAGATGCTGCTACAACATTTATCTCAAATTGTTAGATATATTGTTCTACTAATGTATTGCGAGACCTTCTATTGTGATGATAGATCCAAAAAAACGCAAGACAAAAAAGAGCATCTTTCTGCAATTGATGAGAAACTATGTCAAGAATCAAGACACATATCTTGTTGAACAATACTGAAAGCACACCAGTCAATTAAAAGAGTAATGCACACTCAGTATATATGTTACCCTTTGATCTTCACACTGTTGGGCACTTCGAAGAAGCATGTTAACATACCCGTCAACTTTCTTTCTAACTGTTTCCTTCACTACACGAATGCTGGTTTCAATAGAATCCAGGCATGGTTTTGCTTGATATCCCACTGTACATTACAACAAAGGAAAGAAAAGCATGGAGAGTAATGATCAGTAAGAAACAGACTCTTGTGTTTATGAGATTTGCCTGCAGTTAACTATAGTTATACACCAAATAATTGTATGCTACATCTTCGACAAAATGAAAGTATGTATATTCCTACATGTTTATTTAGAATAGTTGTGGCATACGTGCAAAATGAGAAATCCCTTAGCCTATAAGTTGCGGATGATTTATGGACACAGATTTATTTTGCTCAAATAAACCATAATTTGATAGATGAGATTTGAAGATGCATATGTAGGAGCAAAGGTGACAATGTTGGCTAGCCTATATTGACCTCCTGCTGCCTATGATAATTCGTTAACAAGATTGAGAAATTTGCAGAACAAGAAAAGTGAGCAGTTATCAGAAGGTGGAAATTAGTACAATTAGAGTTCCAACTCAAAACCAATTAATAATTAATCGAGAGCCTCATACATAAGATAACAGAAGATTTTACCAAACCATATAAAGACTTCTGATAGGAGAAAACAAAACAAACCAAAAGGCACAATCCATCAAATACTTACATGGGTGAAGGACCTTGTCCAAGACTCCAAGAAAAACGATGGTATCGCCCCTACTTAAAATGTCGCCCCACTTTCGGACACCATTGACAGTGAGCCTAAGCTCATGCAGACCGCGGTCCTTGGTAGCATCATAAGCAATGACAACAAGGGATGGTGTCCTAGGACGAGCCATGGACAACAGAGTCTTGGATCAATTTCGAATGATTTTTTTTTTATGTTTTGGTCATAAAAATGCTATATAAAGGAAACTTGATCAAATGGGCTTGTAGTAGAAGTTTGAAGGAGCGCGGAGTTAAACCCATTGTAGATTATGATTGGTCGTCCAATGCTATGCTTTAGTGAGAATTCTGAAAAAAAACTTTTTTTCAAAGCTATATTTTCAAGCGCATCAGAAAGAGAAGATTCTCAGTACCAAAAAATATATGCTAAGAGCTCTCTTATTTGTACCGATAAAAATCAAGGGAAATTTGCCTTCTTCAATCGGGCCAATCAGATTATTACAAGGACTTGGGGACTGTATTGGCTAATGCTTTTTAACTGCAAGTGTTCGTTCTGCAAATTCAATGATTCTGAAACAATGGGGACAATGCTTGTATATTATAATTTCTGTCTCAGTCATGTCCTGCTGTCTTGCCAAGAGCATGCAATAAATCTTGCACATAAAATTAAAAACATGACACATAAAACAAAAGCCATATTTTGGTGGCCTTGTGATTCACGCAAAGGTCCCCAAGTCTTGAGTTCAAGTGACAACGTAAAAAGAACATAGAAAAGAAAACCAAAACCTATAATATATATCATGATCATTGGTTTTGCTGGAAAACAAAACTGGAGTGGAAATACTACTGTCACCTTTGTGAGAATGTGAAGGTGAAAATGTCTCACACTGGAAAGTTGAGAAACCTAGCAAAGGCTTCTAAGGAGTTGGGCTACTCTCCCACTGCCAATTAGTTTTGGGGTGGAACCTCAATGTCCTTCAACTCGTACCCGATATAATTTAACACACCGAAGAGATAATGAGTTATTATCAGTACACTTGTAGACATACGCAAAAATCTTTATCTTTTCGCTGCTATACTTGTAAATTCAAGATAACTGTTGTTTTTTGGGAATTACGATCAAAATTAACAAAGGTAGAGATGAGTCATATTACTCAAGAGTTACTGCAAGAAACCATTTCCTCTTTTTTCTTATACATTTTAAATTAATCTTATTCTTTTCGTTAATGGATCTTCATCACTGTCCATGCTAGTAGTCTTCTCTATATAGCTAGTCCCCTCGACAAGACGGCCAGTCATAGCTCAAAAACAGTATTATAAATGAGCCCGAAATGAAAAACATATAGACAAGAAAGTTGATTTTGGGAGTGCTAAACTGATGAATTAGAATAGTTGAAGGAAAGTGTCTAAGATCAAATCCTTCTCATGCGAAAACTTGTTTACATAAAGGCATAATTAACCCAAAGAAGTCTACCTTATGAATGATTATACTCAACCTTTGAAGTTCAAATTTGAAGCACAGACCATCAAAGAAGAGCTAATTCTTGTGCTATCAGTGCATATAGTTCTCCCCTTCCTAAATTTATGCAGTTTATGAAGTCACGCGAAGTGTAAAAAAAGCGATTCTGATTGGAAAGTGAAAAGCTTAGGATTCAAAGGGGGAGTCCCAACTTTATCCGCTCTTTCTGTATTCTTATATAGGAGATGTATGGATACTTGTAGCTTACATAGCAAAGGCCTTATAATTCAGAAACATGAGTTTAAATGTAGTGAAACGGTTTATAGTTTATGCCAAGATGTCAATCTGTACAATTGCAGTTTCTGTGTTAGTCAATGTCAATAAACAGCGTACTGTGTCAGCATACATGGAAAACATAAACAGAAAATTTGCTTTTTGCATAATAAAAGGCAGCACAAGTGATCATCAAACTGCTATATGGAATAACTTATTTGGTGACAGGGGCAATATGCACATTGAATCGATGTTAAATGAACAAAAACGAATCATAAACGTAGCTCTGCTCGATATATTTTTTTGCTAAGTGTTGACTGTTTAAATTGTTTTGGGGGAAAATTTTTATTTTTACTTTGGTATTTTCATAAGGTGCGGAGAACGGAATTCAACAAGTACATGTCACTAAGAAGGGAAAATACATTCATTTACTACTAACGAAGGGACTAAAAGTAAGGATGATGGAGGTGATCATGACAAAGGTGATTCAATGCTCAAATCTGTCTCTGTTTCCTTCCTCTTAAACTTATGCTATGCCTTTTCTTCCTTGTATTATCTGTGATTGGTCTGACGTAAATGACAATGTAGTATTTTTCGCCTTTAACTCATCTTTTCCAATATAAGAAGAAGCAAAGAAACTACCTGAAAAAATTGTTCAAATATAAATCACTCAACAGAAAACTAATAAGCATGTGAACAGAAATAAGCACATGAAATCCAGAAAATCAGAACTACAGGGGAGAGGGAGATGGGATAAGTCCATTAGTGTTACGAGATAATAAGGGGACTTCAATGGGCAGACCTGCAGAAAGAGAAGTCATGAACTTTGTGGAATGTGTGCTTCTCTAGTGTCAGACTCTCAGAAGATGTCTTCTTCAGTGATGAACTCTCCACTTTCGATCTCCACATATGGGACATGTTTTGTATTATCCCAGTCGTCGCCTTTCTCCTTCTCCAGTCGTTTCTGTAATTGAGGGCACCTTCTGATGACCAACTTTTTGAGACTGACAGGTATATATGGTAATGAATGCAACGCGGGACAACGCTCAATGACCAACTCCTCAAGCAAACAAAGGTGTTGGATAATGTCTGGGACATAAGCCAATTTTCACACCCCCACAATATCAAACTTTTTGAGTGAAGCAAGGTACCTCAGCTCCATAGGCAAGGATTCCATTTTTTACAGTATAGAATACTCAAATGTTCAAGAGAAGTAAATCCTCCCATGCCCTCAAACAGAGACTCCAGATTATCGCAATCATACATGGTCAGTTGCGTGATACGGCTCAAGTTCTCCAGATTCCTGGGGAAAGACTTCAGTTGTGGCATTTCATTAATAGCAAGAGTGGAAAGTGACATGAGATGGACCAACGAGTCAAGTAGCATTTCATTACTCTGCCATAAGGCTAAGTTTTTAAGATGCGGAATTGATGGTAAGCCAGTCAACTTGTTGCATCCTTTGACTGTTAGTGTGTCAAGACAAGGGAAAGACACAGGTTTTCCAGCTATTTCAAAACCCTTCCATTCCAACAAATTCGGCATATCATAAAGCTCAAGTTGTGTCAATGCTGGGAATGCTACATCATTTGTATTAGCATTCCCATAAAATTCATAACCAATAATATGCACTGCAGACATTCCTTTATAAAGAGATCCCTAAGGAGAGGTAGCAGCCCGAGTGGCGGAAGTTGTAGACAACTGCAGTTGATCAGAGAAATCTTTACTAGATTGATGAGGGGACAACTTTCCATCCATGTTGGAAAAATTGAACCATTGTAGCCGGATAAATCCAAAACTTCTAAAACCAGGGATGGCATCAGGCGTTCTAATACTTCAGCAGATAATTCAGCATCTACCAGATGAGCATTGCGACCCCATGATAAGCCCAAAGAGCGAAGCCTTAGCTTTTGAAACAGCTTTGCTTCTTGAGCCTGCGCCAAATTACTCACATTCTCAAGATTCTTAATGTCTAGCCTACCTCTAAGGTTGAGCCCACCCAGCTCAGTTAGTTCAGCACAATCAGCCTTCTTACCCATATGAATGCTGACACATTTTGAAGAAATCTTAATTTTCCAATCCTGATGGCATGTGAGTCAAAGAACATGACCTAATAACCAGATGTCTGAGGTTTGTTAACTCGCGGATAGCTTTGGGTAACTCCAGGAGATTGTAACACTCAGAGAGTTCTAAAGTCTGCAAATTTTTCAGGTTAGCTATGGACTCTGGTATTGATCTGATATATGTATGAGAGAGATCGAGGTATCTCAAATGTTTCAAAGTACCAATTGTAACTGGCAACTCACGGATGCCTCTTGCAGATAATTTAGCACTCGTAGTCTTCGGAAATTTAGGAAAGCGATAGGGAGTATCTTGAACTTACCAGAGAAGGAAACAATGAGCGCAGTTTCTTAGCTACATGGATCATTTTTGGAGAAATCCCCGATTCATGAACTAAAGAGATACGACGAATGTGTTCTGAGACATGCAGTGAATTTTCATCTTCCAGGATTGAGCATTCAATCCCCGCAACATGCAAAGCAAGGTCATGCACTAAATTATGCATCCTGCACTCCACTATGTACCATTTTCATACCATTGTGTCCTGAAAGAAAAACCGTTGCAACAATTCCATGAAAAAAACATCAGCAACGTCCTCCAACTCCTTCCTAATGGTACTTGACTCAACAAAACCTTCTGCAATCCACAGCCGGATCAATTTTTCCTTGTTGATTGCATAATCCTTTGGGAATACTGAACAATATGCAAAACATTGCTTGAGATGTGCTGGAAGATGATCGTAGCTCAGCTTCAAAACTGGTAAGACAACAGTGTTCGAGTGAATCCCGTGCATCATTGTCCAGGATTGACAACCACTCGTGCACTTGTTTTTTTGCAGGACAGTAAGCTGCCCAGGGTCTTAACAGCGAGAGGCAGTCCCCCACACTTGCGAACAATTTCCATACCGATCTTTTTCCAAATCAACATTTTATCCAAAGATCCAAATGCTAAACTTTTGAAAAAATCCCAACAGTCTGTGTCAGGTAAGGCTCTTAAGTAATACAGGCCAGCACCACTGTCATGAAATTTGCAACTCTTGCATTGCGTGTAGTTAACATAACAGCAGATCCTGAATTACCTGCACTGACCCTCTCCTTAAGATCTCCCATTCGTGCAGATTTTCACACCACACCATCATCAAGCACACACAAAAATCTCTTCCCCCGCAATTCCATAGTAACAGCGGTCTCTAATGCATCCATGTTGGAGAACTTCTGTGAGCTGTGAGTCGAAACATACAGGATCGCTTCAGCTATCTCATGAGGTCAAAATCCTCACCCACGGTAACCCAAATCCTTAAATCAAAACTCATTTGTACTCTCTCCTTCGTTGTACATGACTTGTGGCAAGAGCTGTCTTTCCAATTCCTCCCATGCCTACAAGTGCGATCACACGAACTTCTTGTTGCTGATGCTCATGGTCGCCGTCCCATAATAGCATGTCTTGTATCTTCTCTTTGTCAACATCCCTTCCATAAACTCAGATATTTCAGATGTAAGAAGAAGTTTGGACGTCACATTGAGACCGGGGGATCCTCTCTGTAGTTTGAGAAACAGTTGCAAGAAGGTGAAGTGCAGTCCCTCCTTTTAAGATTTCGTCGAATCTTGCTTGCAGAGCCTTCATCCTGTGCTTGATTCTGTAGCGGTACCATCAAACATGAGGGAAAAGCATTGGCTACCTTGGCGTTGTGGTAGCCTTCTTCATGGCCATAGCTCCCAATCATCAACCATATCGTCGGCGTTGTAAGCACTTCCTTTCAGCTCCATTAGCCAAGATGGATTGACTGGTTGTTGCCAAGAGGTTGTTCTTCCACTTGGCTAGCTAGTGCCCCCACGAACCTAAATGCATCCCGCATCTTTTTTTAAAGATGACTCATGCCAAGAGCTCGGCAAAGAGAATCAGCGTTAGGACCGGAACCTTGAGGAGAGGGGACAACAAACTGATCGCCATCGAAAAAAGGGAAAGAAAAGAAAAAAAAAAAAAAACATTTATAAAAAAAAAAAAAACTCTCTTCAACACTTTCTTTTTCACAAAAAGAGACAGATGAGAGTCACTGAATGTGAATACACACTCACAAGTAAACAAAAAATCCAATGTTTTTATTAAGCTGGCGGTTTTCTTGTTTTTATCCAGACGCACAGAGCCCAAACCTATACAACAGATCTCATTTGTATGTTGCCTATCACCAAAAGGCGATTCAAAGTTTTCTTCCAATCCGTTGAGGGTAATACAAAGGTTGTAACACTAACAAAATCAATGCCAAGACAGCCCCCACGTAAAACGAAAGGCCAAATGTATAAATATAACTCCATGTGCCAAACAAATTCCAAAGTATAAACAAATTGCGAGAGGCAGACAGAATAGAGACAGAGACAGTGAGGAGAGAGACAGATAACGATGAGAGGATAAAACGATGAGATTTTGGATATGTTGTGGCCGCTTCGATTATTCCGCCATTGGAATGGTGGGGAATAGTTCCACAAGTTGAGCACTGTGTTTATAGGGATCTCCAGGCACATACGCTGTCATGACAACTGCGAAGGAAAGAGTGTGTAAAAATCGCCAGAGAAATAATTGTGTTAATGATTTGAGCATCACCTGTCATGATATTTACGAAACGATCAGATTGCATCTTAAATTCTTTTTGTATTACTCATATCCCACGTTTCTTTTACAAATTGGGGTCTCTTAATCGCTCTGTGTCAAAAAAACGGTTAAATAGGCCTATACTCGTCAAATCAATCCAACTGTATACAATTTATATATTTTTATTTCCTTCCCTCTCTCTTTCCTGCTTCGTACAATGGTGTATCGCGTTATTTGCTTCTCTTTCTCCGCTGTTTTAAGACCATGTAGGTAGTAAAATTACAGACACGTTAGAGAGCATGCTCTTATATGATTAAAGAAAAAGACCTATTCCAACACGGTGTAACGGCAATGGTAATTCTACACTTAAAACATGCTTTAAATAAGGGATATGTGTGCAATCCATACTGAGTAGGGTAACCAGACTCAAATATCACTGATAAGTCAACACTATCCTTTGTTGTGGTGGAGCGGGTGCTAGCACTCTTATTTTTCCGTATTGACTACATATGATATGCCCGAAGCGAGAAGGCACTGTGTATACGTTGCGCTTTCCAACACAAATGTTTGTTGTAGATTTCCTTAGGTTGGTATTGCAGTATTGGCCCTTGCCGCCTCTGAGCTGGAACTTCTTCCCACTCCGCTTGTCTTTTGTTTGTGTCCCTGTGTCCCTTGTGTGGGAGCTTTGGTTTCTTGGCTGCCTAGACATTTTTTTTTTTTTGGGTCCAGATTCCTGTTTTTGTTGGTTTTTGCCGAGACAACCATTGGTTTTGTTTCTGAAGGGCTAAATAATAAATAAATTGCGGCTGGCATTGAGAACTCCTTTTTACGATGCTAAGGTTGTGAGATTGGGACTTTGTATCAAAACCCATTTCAACCTGACGCGGCAGTTGAACCGGCCTAGACGTGAACCTAATATTTTTTTTTTACCCCTTTTTTTTTTTATTGGTGCCTCATCCCTATCCTCCCCTCTCTCCGCTTTCTCAGTCCAATGTATAAAGTCATATGCGCGGTTCTTGTTTTGTTTGGTTTTTCCTTTGGTACCAGGATTCATACTTCTTGATTTGAAGCGGAGGCTTCAAGACATCAAATTCACCGCTGCAAAGCCTTCAACACCTGAGACATGAGGTCTTCTCAGAGAACTACTTGATACAATATCAGCAACGTGACAAAACAGTGTTGAGAGTTCTGTCCATATGGATTTCTGTATTATGTTTACTAATTGATCTAATGCGTTGGTTTGATTAAATTTGGATATACGTGTATATGATATAACTGGTGCTCAGGTACTTTCTTGCCATGCATACAACTGTTCTACTGTTAATTCATGGAAAGTCGATGGTTTTGTGTTTCTTCTGTGTAGATGTTTTCTTTTTGTGGCAGAAAACGTCAATTTGGGTCCTGCGTTTTTACATGTTGTCGTTTATGGAGAAGAGGTTTAGGAAATGGTTGGTTTAGTGTTCTAGGACAATAGCTTAACGTGGAATGGAAAACTTTGAAGAGTATAGTAGTTTGTTTTGAATGCACCTTGGAGCACAGCTCACACGAGCCTTCGCATAGTAATAGCCGTGCGTGCTGTGTTCGTTTCAGCTGTGATTCGTGATGGGCTCTGTAGGCATATGTTATGAGGGCAGATGCTACTGACTCTCTAAGTCGGCATCTTTGACTTGGACAGTCGTGTTGCACAGTATAACCGACATATCTACAGCATTGACAGTATTTGTATGTGGTTTGAAACTACAGGATAAAATTGGCAGATTGAAACTGGTTTTTTTTTTTTTTTTTTTTTTTTTTTTTTTTTTTTTTTTTTTTTTTTTTTTTTTTTTTTTTTTTTTTTTTTTTTTTTTTTTTTTTTTTTTTTTTTTTTTTTTTTTTTTTTTTTTTTTTTTTTTTTTTTTTTTTTTTTTTTTTTTTTTTTTTTTTTTTTTTTTTTTTTTTTTTTTTTTTTTTTTTTTTTTTTTTTTTTTTTTTTTTTTTTTTTTTTTTTTTTTTTTTTTTTTTTTTTTTTTTTTTTTTTTTTTTTTTTTTTTTTTTTTTTTTTTTTTTTTTTTTTTTTTTTTTTTTTTTTTTTTTTTTTTTTTTTTTTTTTTTTTTTTTTTTTTTTTTTTTTTTTTTTTTTTTTTTTTTTTTTTTTTTTTTTTTTTTTTTTTTTTTTTGCGGCCCTTCAAAACTGGTAAGACACAGTGTTCGAAGTGAATCCCGTGCATCATTGTCCCAGGATTGACAACCACTCGTGCACTTGTTTTTTGCAGGACAGTAAGCGCCCAGGGTCTTAACAGCGAGAGGCAGTCCCCACACTTGCGAAACAATTTCCATACCGATCTTTTTCCAAATCAACATTTTTATCCAAAGATCCAAATGCTAAACTTTTGAAAAAATCCCAACAGTCTGTGTCAGGTAAGGCTCTAAGTAATACAGGCCAGCACCATCTGTCATGAAATTTGCAACTCTTGCATTGCGTGTAGTTTACATAACAGCAGATCCTGAATTACCTGCACTGACCATCTCCTTAAGATCTCCCATTCGTGCAGATTTTCACACCCACCATCATCAAGCACACACAAAAATCTCTTCCCCCGCAATTCCATAGTAACAGCGGTCTCTAATGCATCCATGTTGGAGAACTTCTGTGAGCTGTGAGTCGAAACATACAGGATCGCTTCAGCTATCCTCATGAGGTCAAAATCCTCACCCACGGTAACCCAAATCCTTAAATCAAAACTCATTTGTACTCTCTCTTCGTTGTACATGACTTGTGCAAGAGCTGTCTTTCCAATTCCTCCCATGCCTACAAGTGCGATCACACGAACTTCTTGTTGCTGATGCTCATGGTCGCCGTCCCATAATAGCATGTCTTGTATCTTCTCTTTGTCAACATCCCTTCCATAAACAGCAGATATTTCAGAGATGTAAGAAGAAGTTTGGACGTTCACATTGAGACCGGGGATCCTCTCTGTAGTTTGAGAAACAGTTGCAAGAAGGTGAAGTGCAGTCCCTCCTTTTAAGATTTCGTCGAATCTTGCTTTGCAGATCCTTCATCCTGTGCTTGATTCTGTAGCGGTACCATCAGACATGAGGGAAAAGCAATTGGCTACCTTGGTCGTTGTGGTAGCCTTCTTCATGGCCATAGCTCCCAATCATCAACCATATCGTCGGCGTTGTAAGCCACTTCTTTCAGCTCCATTAGCCACAGATGGATTGACTGGTTGTTGCCAAGAGGTTTGTTCTTCCACTTGGCTAGCTAGTGCTCCCAACGAACCTAATGCATCCCGCATCTTTTTAAGATGACGTCATAGCCAAGAGCTTCAGCAAGAGAATCCAGCCGGTTAGACAGAACCTTGAGGAGAGGGGACACAACTGCATCCGCCATCGAAACAAAAAGGGAAAAAAAAAACTCAAAACTCTCTTCAACAAGCTTTCACAGAGGGGATTCAGATGAACTACACACTCACAAGTCAAACAAAACCAAGGCTAGCTGGCCGGTTTCTTTGTTTTCATCCATACACACATACATATATACACACAGATTTTCTATTTGTAGTGTTTCCCTATCACCAAAAGGCAGGATTCAAAGTTTTCTTCCAACTCCGTTGAGGGTAATACAAAGTTTTTGTAACACTAACCACACATGCCAAGACAGCCCACTTAAAACGAAAGGCCAAATGTATAAATTTATAATCTCCATGTGCCAACAAATTCCAAAGTATAAACAAATATGAGAGATGCAGACAGACATAGAGACAGAGACAGTGAGGGAGAGAGACAGATAAACCTATGAGATTTTGGATATGTTGTGGCCGCTGCGATTATTCCTCCATTGGAATGGTGGTGAATAGTTCCCACAATTTGAGCACTGTGTTATAGGGATTCTCCAGGCACATACAGCTGTCATGACACCTGCGAAGGGAAAGAGTGTAAAATCTCCAGAGAAATAATTGTGTTTAAATAAGACTTTTATCACAAAACGTCCATGATATTTACGAAACTATCAGATTGCATTCTTAAGTTCTTTTGTATTACTCATAATCCCTAACGTTAATTTGGGTTCTCTTAAATAGTTCCTTTGTCAAAAAACTGTTAAATTCAGGAATATAATCGTCAAATCAATCCAAATTATAAAATTTATATATTTTATTTCCTTCCCTTCTCTCTTTCTTTCTTCTTCTACTTTCTCTCTTTATTTTCTTCTTCTTTCTCTCTGTTTAAGACAATGTATGTCTTACACTTAAACATGCTCTTATATGATTAGAAGACCATTCCAATACGGTTTACGACAATGTAATGTCCTTACACTTAAAACATGCTTTAAATATAGGGAGTGTCCAATCCAATACTAGTCATCAATCAAATTACTTCAACTTACCTGGTGGTGGTGGAGCTGTCTAGCTCTTAATTAATTTCCTTGCCATTGTTGCCTCGTTTCTTGCGCTTTCATGTTTGTTTGTAGTTTCCTTAGTTTGTATTGCATGTCATTGCCCTTGCCGCCTTGAGCTGGAACTTCTTCCCATCAGGCTTTTGCTTTTGTTGTGTCCCTGTTTGTCCCTTGTGTGGAGCTTTGGTTTCTTGGGCTGCCTATATTTTTTTTTTTTTTTTTTTTTTTTTTTTTTTTTTGCTTGGTTCTGGTTTTTAAATTAAGATTTTTGCCGAGAACATTGTTTTTGTTTACTGAAATTTGAATAAATAAATAAATTATAAGTCTGCTTGCATTTGAGAACTCCTTTGACGATGCCTAAGGGTGATGGATTGGGACTTTGTATACAAACCCTATTTCAAACATGACGCGGCAGTTGACCGTAGCCTAGACGTGAACCTAATAATTTTTTTAACCCTTTTTTTTTTGGTCAATTGGTGCTCTCATCCTATCTCCCCTCTTCTCTTCTCAGGTCCAAAGTATATAAGTCATATGCTGCGGTTGGTTACAGATTCAGTATTCTTGATTTGAAGAGGAGGAAAGACATCAAATTCACCGCTGCAAGCCTTCAACAACTTGGACAGAAGGTCTTCTCAGAACTACTTGATACAATATCAGCAAACTGGGCAGTGTTTGAGAGTTTCTGTCCATATGGATTTCTTTATATTTATGTTTACTAATTTGATTTTAATGCGTTGGTTGATTAAAATTTGGATATAATTGTATAAAAAAAAATTATATAACTTTGTGCTCCAGTTACTTTCTGCCATGCATACAACTGTTCTACTGTTAATTCATGAAAGTCGATGGTTTTTGTTTCTTTGTAGTGTTTTCTTTTTGTGGCAAAAAGTCAATTTGGGTTCCTGCGGTTTTTACATGTTCGTTTATGGGAGAAGAGGTTTAGGAAATGGTTGGTTTAGTGTTTAGGACCATAGCTTAACTTGGAATGGAAAACTTTTGAAAGAGTAATAAAGTAGTTTTATTTGAATGAAGTAGGAAAGGTACAAGGCTTTGGATATAGGACAGCTGGTAGTTTTCAGCTTGATTACTTGAATGGGCTGTAGGCATATTTATACAGATGCTAACTGACTATCTAAGTCGGCATTTACTTGGACAAGTCGGTTGCACAGTAACCGACTTATCTAAAGCATTTGACAGTATTTGTAATGTGGGTTTGAAACTACAGGATAAAATTGGCAGAATTGAACTAGGCCGACCAAAAAATTTTTCTTGCCTTTTTTTAAATGCAAAGTTAATTCAAAGTGCCTGATATACTGAAAGAAAAAATATTGCCGTTGTAAGCAAAAGTAATTCAATAACATGACAAGTAATCCTCAGTCCAAAGCTATAAACTTAGGTATTTATCAAAACAAGTTCTAGCTGATGGCTTTGATTATAGATTCGGATTGATTATGGATGAGAAACAGGTATCATTTGCCATGAAGAATGAAATTTCGTAAGAAAATTTGAAAATTTGGTGTTATTCGTTTTATTTATTTATTAAACATGACTTTTTTGAGTCTCCAGCTATTGTTTATTTAGAGTTTGTTTTTGCAAATTTGAGAGCCGCTGTCTTAACTATTCACCAATTTGTTATGATTTTAGTAGTATTTCTCTTCTCATATTGACAAGGTCCCATGTTCGAATTCCCCGCCTCTGTCACTGAAAAAGAAACAATAATAATTTATATGCTCCTTTCTTATATGTTCATTGTTCTATGTGGCAGTTGGTTTTTGAACTTCCATTTATAAGATTCCTTACTCTTTGTTCTGAACTTTCTCAGCTAGCTAGCATGGAGTTTAAGAGGCTAAATCCAGCTTCACATTTAGTTTATCGCTGTCAGCCAATTGGCAGGCTGAAACGGCTTGAAAGGAATTTCGAATTGCTTATACAAATAACTGAATGTTTGTATAGCATGAGGGATACCATCACGAGGAGGTAACCAAAGAACTGATGTGGGGTAAGGCACCAACCTGAAATGCAAAAAATGGCTTGAAAAGGTGGGAGAAATTGAAGATCAAGTGAATGACATGTTGAAGATACAGGAGACGAGTTCTGACCTTGTGATTCACTCGCACGTCGGTCTACATCAGCATCTGATGAGTATGCTCAATAAGATTACTGATCACTTGGAGAAATCTCCAGGTGCACATGGTTCAATGGCTTATGTACCTCCTGGACAGAGTAAAACAGTAACTAGTCCAATACTTCATGGTGAGGCATATGGACTGGCACCACCAGATAACAAGAATGTGAACTTGCAAAGGAGAGCAGAAGCAAAGGAGAAGCAAATGTGGAGATTGAAATGTCACCAACACAAGGGAAGGAAGCCGTGAAGGGTAAAGAAATACAAGAAGGTAATATCTTGAGACCCAAGCAACAGCATCAAGAGCTGCATCCATATTCTATAGAAGAGCCTGCTGGGTTTTAAATTTGGGGGAGCAACCACTGAAATAGGTAAACCACAAACAGAGAACAAACGCTTCAGGCGAGGCCTATATTGAACAAACGGCTTCATAGCATATCAATTGAGCGGATGCTGCACGAGATCTTGGGATGCATGAATAGTGTCACAATTAGTAGAATTGCCATTTATGGAATGGGTGGGATTGGCAAGACTACTGTGCTGAAAGCCTTGGCCAATCATGTTGAAAGAAAAAGCACGTTTGATAAGGTCATTTGGTGACTGTCTCAAACATTGGAGCACAAGAAAGATTCAAAATGAAATTTAAGACAGTTTATCAATGTGCGTACCAGATTCTGAAACTGATTCCAGAGTTGCAGAAAAAACTACTTCAAGTTTTAAATAGCAGGAAGTGTTTGCTTCTTCTGGACGTGTTTGGGAGTGTTTAATTTAAAAGCAGTGGGAATTCCTGATTTGAGCTCAGAAAATGGTTTTAAGATGATACTGGCTACCAGAATACGGGCTGTTTGCATGAAATGGTTGCAAATAGGGTTATTGAATGGAAACTGTCTCTAGAGAGGAAGCTTGGGAGTTGTTCTGTGAGCAGGTGGGTGCAGTCGTTGATTTTCCATGTGTCCAACCTTATGCTCGAGCCATTGTTGAGGAGTGTGGGGGTTTGCCGTTATTGATCATTGTTACCGGAAGAGCCCTGACAGTGTAGTGATGCTTTAGTGTGGAAGCATGCATTGAGAGAACTTTTATTACCCAGCACAAATGCTGCATATGACACTGAAGCTGTTATGCAACGAATGAAATTCAGTTATTACAGATTGAGGGATTGTGACATAAAGAGTTGCTTCCTTTATTGCGCTTTTCTTTCAGAAGATCAGGAGGTTAATATTTATGAGCTGGTGAATATTGTATCCAAAGGTTTGATTTCTGGGATTGGGATGATGCATGTAAGAGGGGACATGAGATAGTTGACATTCTTGTAGGTGCCTCCCTATTGCAGAGTACCAAGGGCGGTCTGTCCATCAAAATGCATGCTATGGTTAGAGATTTAGCATCAGTGATCATATTATCGAAGGCAGAACGTTTGCAGTTTCTGCTAAGACCTTATTTATTGTACAGGCCACTTGAAAGCCCCGAAAGTAATAGATTGTTAATTGATGAAGGTTGTCAGTTCTTGTTGAAAGGTGGTGCAGGTCTAAGGGAGTCGCTACCAGCGGAGAAATGGAACAAGCCAAGATGATCGCTTTGATGGATAATGAGTTATCCAGTCTACCTGAAAATCCATGCTGCCCTGATCTTTTAATTTGTTCCTTCAAAGGAACAGATGTCTAAGAGTGATCCCAGCAGCCTTTTTTGATCGCATGCCTTCTCTTGAAGTGTTGAACCTATCTAACACCCAGAATCAAGTTCTTGCCACAGTCAATCTCGAATCTGAAAAGGCTTAAAATTCTTGTTTTACGCAGTTGTGAGCGCTTAGTTGTGCTCCCATCGGAGGTTGGATCACTTGGAGACCTTGAGGTGCTCGATCTCCGAGGCACTGAAGTTGACAATTACCTGATGAGATAGGTAGTTTGACTTCTCTAAGACACTTGGAAGTATCCTTTTATGGATCTATCAGCCCCAGTGAGTATGCTAAGTTGCCCCATCAATTGATTTCACCTGGAATAATATCAAAGCTCATTTCTTTGGAGACATTAAGTATTGATGTATACCCTGGAGATCAGAGGTGGAAGAAAAGCTTGGAATCCATCACAAAAGAGGTTTGTAGCTTGACAAAGTTGACTTCTCTCTGTTTCAGTTTCCCAGAAGTGGAGCTTCTACAATTCTTTCTCCAAACCTGTACCAGATGGAAAAACCAACTCTTAACTATGTTCAAATTTGTGGTTGGTGATGATGTCAAGCGTATCGTGTCTCGGGTCCCAAACTTTGTGGTGCATGATTATAATCAGCAGGGCCAATGCTTGAGGTTTGTTAACGGTGAGAAGGTGCCGATGTGGTTGTTGAAGTATTAGCTCGTACTGTTGCCTTCTATTTGGATCATCACCTTAGCATCTGCAGCTTATCCGAGTTTGGGGTTAGTAATATGAGCGGGGCTGAAATTATGTATATTGAGTGAATGTCCTCAAATTCACTCAATCATTGATTGCACAGAACCAACTAATCATGCATTTCCCTCTTTGGAGTATTTGAGTGTTCATTACTTGCCCAACTTGGAGAATATTTGGGAGGGCGTTAGACCTTTACCATTTGGAAGTTTCACTAAGCTTAGAATTCTGCTGGTGTATGCATGTCCAAAGCTGAAAAATGTTTTTACAAGCAGCATGCTATCATGTGTCTCTAATCTGGAAGAGTTGTTGGTTGAAGATTGCCCAGCCATTGAAGTGATCACACTTGAGGATGAGAGCATGGATTCTGGAACTGTTAGACTCTTGAGATTGAAAAGATTGACACTAAACCATCTTCCTCGATTGGCTAACATTTCGGAAGGCGCTTGGCCCTCGTTAGAGTATATTAGCTTGCATGGCTGCCCTAATTGGAAGACCATTGCTATGAACTCAAAAGTTGAGGTAAACTGTAAAGATTAAAGCAGAGAAGCATTGGTGCATTTCGATTATGATTGCTCTGGATCTTAAAGCTCATTTCGCCTGTCTCCAAAGGATGCATTCCAGTGGTATTATGGTTCTGGATCTTAAAGCTCATTTCACCATTGTCCATAGTTGATGTATATAGAACAAAGCCTTTCATACTGTCAAATAAAATTCAAAATTGTTGAATTTAATGCACATTTTAAAATAAAAAATGTTAATTGGGAAGAAATGATGCAGTGGCTTAAAGTATCCCACAATCATAAGAAGTTCATTAGCCTTCCATGCAATCAATGACATTATGTCAGTGGTAAGTGAAGTGGATAACACAACACTGAAACCTGTTTGAGACCAAATGGCAATTGCGAGAGAGGCTCAAGATATTTGAAGCACTTCCATTCTTCAATGCAAGACTACCATTCTCTAATACCAGATAGTCTCAAAGGTTTTGCCTTCATTTTATTTGGAATTTAAGAAAGTTAACCTGTCGGGGAACCAAAAGGAAAAAAAAAAACAAGGACATGCAATGCAAAGTACTCATACAGTGGCGTTGCTCACTTAACAGCCATATATTCCAGTTAACCTGAATGCTGCATCTGATGCACAGTTTCCACATGATGGATCAAACTATCTTCAAACAGTAAACAATTTCTGCTTTACCGTGATCGCCACAACCACAAAGACAAAAATCATTCCAGCATAATGTGGATCATCACTTGTTTTTAAAAGCAAGACCAGATAGCATGCCAATGAGAATCTAAATCATCACCAGTGAAATGGGAAATATCTGACAGTAAAGTCAATCAGACCACAAGAGCTTGTACTCGTCCTGACCGACAACACGAAGAGTTCTCTCATTCATCATTGAACACAATAAATATTATTCAAATATTAACCAGCAGATTGTTGTGAAGATTACATGTTAATGTAGATTATAATCAACAAAGTTCTTCCACTTGACAACAGAGAAAAAAAAGTACAAGATTACAAAACAAACATACAAGTTCTTCACTGACTTTATTCGAAGTAGTTCAGCTTATTTGATTGGTTGTGAGAGAGAGGTCATTGGTGATAAACAGAAACAAACATACGTTGAAAACGATCTTTAATTGCAGGGTCACTTGGCCAGTTCAACTCATTCTCCCAGTCACTGGTGCATCTGATCCATCTCAATTTAATCGCGTTTGCCATGGTGGATGGTAAATCCTTTAGCATCACACACTCCCTGATCTCTATTGTCTCTAAAGAGGGCCACTCCCATGAGACTTCGCTCCAAATAGTACACAGTTTCGGTAAGTTCCGGAGTTCTATAGTCTTCAATTTAGGGAGTGCCGCTGATACATCACTTCCAGTTTCAATTATCTCTTTCATCTCAAGACAGTGCTCAACTTCCAAATGTTGTAGCTGAACAAGTTGTTGGACAATCCCATGTGCCTTTGAGAATAGATTTTCTAGACTTGGACAATCTTTTAGTATCAGTTTCGTGAGCCTGGATAGGCTTTCAGGGCTCACCAAGCCCTTCCATATATGCACCAACTTTGGAATATTTATTATGTGTAGCTGTTTTAGGAATTGAAACGCCCACACCTCCTATCATGTCACCATCATGATGCTTTCCATTTCATTGCATTCTTCAATCTTGCAAATTTCCAGTCCTCCCAACCTATCGGCTCCAAAGAGTGATAAGTTTGTCACATTTTGATGACCAATCAGCTCAAAACTGTAAGCGTGTTTGTAGTATCTGCAAAATGGTATCAGGAACACTTTCACCTCCAGAGAATCTCAAATGTTTTTCAGTTGAGCATTCTGAGATATCAAATTCAGAAGGATTGTTAGTTTGGTGATGACCCACGATGATGTTGAATGATCTGAAACTGTTGCCCGGTGTGTTCTCCCGATTCCATGATACACTCTGGCATATGAACGGTCTTAAGCAATCCTCACCAGGAAAGTAGAAACAAAGAGTCGTTAATTCTTCCAACCCAACTAATTCCTCCACAATTGCACCTACAATATTATTCCATTCTGTGTTATGGTGGTCAATGCCAATGCTTAGTTCTTCTAATGAAATGAGCTTTGAAACAGTGTCAGGATGAATGACCACCACTGGATTCCCTTGAAAGTGGTTGTGACTGCTAACATTCTGTTCAAATGAAACTCTCAAGCACTTGAGATTAGTGAGCTCCTGAATCTCTTTAGGGAGATTTCGAATCTTGGTGCGACTTATATCAAATATTTCAAGACTTTGGAGTTTTCCTATATCAGCTGGAATATTTTCTAACTCGCCACAATCATTTAGATAGAGCCCTCTAAGTTTTATCAAGCTAGATATAGATGATGGCAGTGACATGATTCTGTATCATGCAAATCTAGAACTCGTAGTTTTGCATGCATGCAAAGAATGACACAGGAATTTGCGTCAAGCTCTTGTTTTCTTGGAGTAACAATGTCAGAATTCCAGAACACTGAGGTTGCTCAGGTAGGGCAGAAAGTTGATGTTGAATCAATGAGACCCTTTCTGCACACGTCCATTGTTCCTCTGTAATATTTGCACCTTCTTTCACTAATATGCAGTGACTCCCTGCATTACACTTCGCAATACGTAGTGCAACACGCTGAAAATGCTCAAACATCTTGTAATGACGTGCCTTTATTCCTCTATCCAAAAGACCAACGTTTACAAATTCATCTAGGACAGTGTGACCTCTGTCACGTGTTTCCCCTAGCCTTGCAAAACTAATTAACTGTTCTGCTCTCCAACACTCAGTTATGTAGTCTCGATGAACTTCATAACCAACAGGGAAAGTGCCCAGTACAACAAGCACAGCTGCTTACTCTCATCTAGATCATTGTATGAAAGTTTAAATAACTGGTAGACTTCTTCCAATTCTCGGCTTTGTTGCTTACTGGGGGCTTGCAACTCTAACAGTGTATCTCGCCACCTTGCTGGATCATTCACTTTTGCTAACTTTTGAGCTATCAAGTTGATCATGTGTGGCATCCCACCACACTCATTGACTATTAAAGGTGCTAATCGAATGATTTCTTGCTTTTTCATAATATCAGCACTCACTTTCCTGTTAAATAACTTTTGGGCATCCTCCTTTGACAACTTCTCTATTTTGATATCCTCATCTGTCGGTCCACAGAAGTTTCCGTTGTCTCTTGAAGTACATGCGAACACAACCTTTCCGCAATTATGGTCATCATGAATTCCAACCTCCCTCAGATTAATCTTTGAAGAAACTTGGTCAAGAAACAATAGATAGCTCTTGTTCTTCAGCTCTTCAGATATCTTTGCTCTTCTTTTGTCTGTGCTGGACTTTTCGTCAACCGGTAGGCCTAACTGATCCTCAAGCACCCTTCGTATCTTTTCCACGCATTCCGTGTTGTCCATAGTAACCCAAAAGATAACTTCAAATTGACTTGTTTGACCAACTTTATCATGCAAATTTTCCATCACTGTTGTTTTTCCAACTCCAGGCGGTCCCCATATGCAAACTCTCTTAAACTCATCTTGTTTCAGCAAGTCTTGAACAATTTCTACATGCCTATTAAGTGATGGAAGATCATCTATTTTCTGGGCATGCCTATTTCTAAATCTATCAGGTGGTGTCGGTGCATTCTCAGTCATTATCGGGTTCTCAAGCTTTATTTGATCTCTCAGGGAAACTAACTCTTTTGTCTCCTTCACTACATCTCTTCCAAGCCTTAGCAGAGAAGGGAAAGGACAGAGTCCACACAGATATTTGTTGATGCGTCTGTACTTTGTCTTCAGATGTTGGATTTTGTCTTTCTTTTCATTGACCCGTTGAAACCAATTTCTGCATTCATTTGTGATATGCATTCGACCAACATTTGCAGCCAGCACATTTTTCACATCTGCCTCTCTATTCTGCAGACGCATTTCTCATTCTCAAGCTCCTTGAAATTCTTCCCCAAGTTTCTCACATAATCATATTTGCGTTTCAAATAGGTGAACATCCACACGCCACATTTTGCAGCTGGCTCAACTGTTTGCCCCACAGCTTGTGCACCTGCTGTCACCTCAAAAGCCATCCTTTCGAATATGAAAACGAAATGCATATCAATGAAAACTGTTTATTCACTATATTTTGACAATACATGTTCAATCCAATACAAAATGAATATTACTGGTGCGATATTGCAGGTTTTTCTATTGATGCAAGATTCAATGAAAGCTTGTTACTTTTTTTCATACCTCATAATGTTATGATATTATTGACAAATGGATGTGGACTGATCAACACTCGCCCTTAACATGCATATGCTAAAATGCCCAGACAAAACAATAATCTATGTCCATAATTCCCATAAAATCCTTGTGGTTCCATTTGGATGACAGAATTTCGATATGATATTTTAGCGTAAATTGCTTAATTATTAAATTTTTTTATGGTTAATATAATTCACATGGAAGAACTCAAACTCAAACCCAAATTCATAAATCTAAGTTCTTTCATCTAAGCACAAGTTTTATCAACAATATTTACACTACTGTATGGATATGAACGTGTAAAAATAAGCACACCTGAAAGGAAATCTGCTTGGTTGGTCCTCTGAACGTTGTGGTTGCTAGGTAATGGATTCTCTTCTCTGCTGCACCTCAAGTCAAGACTCAAGAAGAGTATATGAAACTGTCTCTTCTCGTTTTCAACGGAAATGGAATTTTTCACTCTAACCAATGTCAACGACAGGACAACCTAGTCCTGCAGGGCCTACAAGTCTCTTTTTGGTTTTGTCTTCTTGGTTTTAATTGTTTATTTTATTTTTATTATAGTAAAATATTCATTTTTAATAAATTTGATTTATTTTATCAAAATCTAGAGTGAAAGGGGAAAAGTTTCCAGAGAAGAAATGAAAATAACTTCTGGCTTCTTTGTGACCAGCATACGTTGGTTCTGCAACTTGCATTGAATCTAGGAATCAATGCTATCCATATTCCCAAATTAGTTGTACCTTAATCTTGATCTAATCACCCACAATTAGGATAAACCACTATCATTAGAGACAGAATGAGGTGATAAAAAAATATGTAGTATGAGTTTAGATAATCCTATGAGGATATGAGGAAGCAATTTCCATAATAAGCCATCAGAAGAGATAAGAGTTACTCTCAATGCTTTACAATAAGCAACAGAAATAAGAGTTCATCTCAGCTTACCCCATAACGAATGCTGTTTATACTTACAAATGTACATCGTAAAATTCTTTCAACTGATAGATCATAAAACAGTATTTCAATTCAAGAAACCTGTTTGAATATGGCTGCTTCGAAAAGCTTCTCCTTTTCCTCTTTCTGCATCATTTGGCTCACCATTAGCAGTCATTACCTGCTGCTGTCCATTTTATAGAAAGAAAATGGACTTACTTGATTGACTGAAGGAGGAATGGTAGCAAAAGAGAGTGAAGTTTCAATCTTTTTGCTGGAGAAATTGCTGACTCCAATTGATTTGGTGAGGCCAGGTCTCTGAGATTCTTCCATGGCTGCCCACACACCCTTGAAGTCCATTGGCATAAGGTCAACTGATGGGCTAGAGGATGAGATACAGGTCAAGGTACTCCAATGGAAGATTTCTGCACCATAATCACATAAACAAACAAAACCAGTCACCCCAAAATTCCAATTGCTTGAAAGAAAAGAAAAACCAAACTAGATTGTGAGATTGTGAGATTTTGAGATTTTGAGACTCGCTCAAGTGATTTCTTGAGGGCAGCACAAGTGGAGGAGCCAAGCATCACCTCTGGGATTTGGGCTGAAGAAGCAGCATTTGCCATCTTTAGTTTCTTATCTTTGGAAATTAGCTCAAGGTTTTTTTATCAAGTATTCAAGTCTGGTTTTTATTTTTCATCAAGTGAAGGTGGTTTTAAACTGCTAGATTTGAGTCAATTCTTGGCTTATTATTATTAGACAAGAGAATGGTCAATTGAACTCTCCTCCTACGAGGCTGTGCATTGACTCATGGTCTTGAAATACATCAACCAGATCATTGATTCATGGCCATTATCAATTGTGCAACTCCAAAAGTGTTTAAAATCGATGCTCAAAGAATAAACATGTGAAAAGGTCCATTGATTCATGGTCATTATCAATTGTGAAACTCAAAAGCTTCCTTCACCAATCTTCTTTTTCCTTCTTGCTTGTAGAATTCTTCAAAAAAACCTCTGCATACTTATAGCTCCGGTACAATGGAGGGTGTTCCTCGTCAATCAAATCCTCAATTGGACCAATCACCGTGTTGCTGGGTCCATAGAGCATTGCTATTGACAACCTTGGCTCAACTTTGTTGGTCACTGCCCTGTGGTGCACGCTCTTATACCTTCCATTACTCAAAACCTACGTTCAAGATACACAAATTCAAATCAAATTTCAATGAAAGTCATTTTTGGTCCCTGTAGTTTACTCCTCTACGTGAGGTACACATGGAGGTGACATCGTGAAAGAAATTGACGGAAATTATGACTTGTCCTTGAATTGCTATAATTACGAAACTACGAGAGCACAATTGACCAAATTGAAACAACATGGATGAAAGTGGAAATCAGAGTCACCTAGATTGATAACAGAGGCACTTGGGAGAGGATCAACAGCAACCCATTTCTCATCTTTGATCAGTACTTGAAGGCCAGTCACTCCCTCTGTTTGCCTAAGTATTGTGAGTGCATTGAGATCACTATGGACAGATAGTCCAAGTGTGAGGTCAGGGTCAGGACATGGTGGATAGTAGTTTCCTTGTGCTTTTTGAGTAGGATTCTCACCCAATTTCTTCTGTAAGCAGTCCTCCTCTGGGCCAAGCCCTTGGGATATCAATACCAAAAGCCTTTTCACCAATGCACCAATCTCCTTTTCACATTCAGCAAAAACCTCACTAAAACCAAAACCCCAAACATAAAAATGAGCAAAAACTACAAAATAAGCTCAAGTGTTAAAATTTATAAGAAAAGTGTACCGGTATTGGGGAGGATTTCAGGCAAAGAATTGAGAGGTTCCCAGAGATGAGAGAAGGTTTCACTCCACATAGTGACCTTTTGATGTTGATCACCTTCAAGCTTGAGGTAGTAGTTGAAAAGCTTTATCGGCTTGGAGTGATCTGTGGTAAAGTATTGTGCTCTTTCTTCGGCAGGCAATTTGAAGAACTGGGTCATGGCAGCCATCATTCTATAACATAACTCCTCAGGCACTCCATGGTTGATGATCTGGAAAAATCCATACTCTTCACAAGCTTGTGAGAGCTCGAATCTGGTTGTTTCTTAGATCAAGCTCCCTGAGACTGGTTTGATCGCCAATTGATTCTGGAAGCTCTGTCAAGTCACTGAAGTTGCTGGACAGGTTGAGCACCTCATGAGTCGTCAGTCTCCCAATTGCATATGGCAGCCCACGAAGCTCATTGAAATGAACATCTAGATATCTCAGTGACCTCATTTCACAGATGGATGGAGGAAGGGAACGGATTTTATTCAAGTGGATTGAGAGCCTTCGAGATTCAGTAGCCCATAACCAATATTTGTTGGCAAACACATCAGGTTGTTAAAGCTTGCATCTAGCTCCACCAGTATTTTGAGTCAAAAAAGTTGTTTTGAAAACAGTCACAAAGTGAGAATTGCAGGAAAGGAAGGAAACATTACTCGCCAAGAACAGAACACATGAAGAACAGATGGGACAAGTGGAAAAATAAAATTTGAGACGTTACCTACAACGAGCAATGCTTTCAGGAAGGGCATCCAGCTTGTTTCCTGACACATTGAGGATCCTCAGGTTAAGCAACAATCCAACGGAGTTGGGCAAGGAAACTAAAAGATAAGACGAAACATGGAGCTGCTCGAGTTTCTCAAGTCCTGCTATTGAATCTGGAAGGGACTGTTTTACCAAACAAATAAACCTGTTATGTAAAAGTTACCAGGAACTACATCAATGAAATGCAATCATAAGTTACTACCTAGAGATCAATTATGCCAAGGAGAGTGTTAATTCTATCAATCTGCTGCAAGCATGGTTGGTTAGTTGGATTTCGCTCTAAATATAGAAAACCAATTGTGAGTGGACTTGTAAGCTATACTAATATTTCATATAGGATTGGCTAAATGCTTGATTGGGACAGCATAAATAGACTAAAGCTATTGGTATGTCTAAATTCACTATGAAGCTATTGGCATATGTCTAATTCAACTTATTCACTGAAAGTTGTATGCTTTTCTTTCTCTAAGATAAACAAGAGAGAGAGAGAGAGAGAGAGAGAGAGAGACGAGAGTGAGAGAGAGGAGGGAGAGAGAGAGAGAGAGATGAGAGTGGAAACCAGTAGCTGATTGTTTGACAGGTTGAGAGAGACCAACCCATGAAGCTTCCCGAAGGCACCTCAAAAACCAAGGCAGTGAAAGAAGATTTATTCTCAAGGAAAAAACTTGGATGTAACTTCAGAGTACTTCAAACTGCAGAATATTCTGATTCAAATATTACTTTTTGGTTTCTTTAATCTTCACTCCTCAGCAGAGAAAATTATAACAAATGGTTGCGTAAAAAACTTGGATGAATTTTAGAGTCCTTGAAACTGCAGAGTATTCTGTTTCTATAAAACCTACCAAAAAGTGCCTGATCAAGGCTCTTGTTTTCAAGATACTCATAAACCAAATACGGTGGCTTCCTTCAATGCAGCATCCATACAATTTCACTAGATTGTTATGTTGGACTGCAGATATCGTAGCAATCTCGGTTACAAATTGACTCTTCCCTTGGTGAGATGCTACTGAAAGTTGCTTCACAGCCACTACCCTCCCATCAGAAAGTGTACCCTATAAACAGAAATACAATTCAGTGACATGAAAGGGAAGTAGAAAGAATCTATTTTGCTTCTCTCAATTTCTTTTTGTAAGAAGTCAAAGTCATTACTTTAAAGTAGCAGATATTGATGTAAAATAGATTTCACCTTATAAACAGGTCCATATCCTCCCTCTCCTAGCTTATTTGAAGGATTAAAATCTTCTGTTGCAGCTCTCAACTCAGCATAACTGTAAGTATTTGGTCGGGGATCTAATCCTAGAAGATCTGCATATTCAAAAGATAGTATGACATAGGTTTAAATTTCGAAACAACATATCAGAAGTATTTTCTCTCAAATATGCTTATCAACACTAGAAAGAACCTAGAACCGCATGCAGAATTAACCCTTAATAATATGCTCATTGCTCTTTTACCTTCATCGTCATCTTTTTCTGATGTTTTTCTCCACATATATAAAACTGCAAATAATAATAGCAAGATCACTACTCCGACGGGGACTGCAATACCACTATCAACCTAGTCGTGCTCTTCTTTCCTGGAGTAGTTGGTGTATCTGAGCAATGAAACAGAATAATTGTTCAGTGTCAATCAATTGACAGTAGATAAATACATTTAAACCATTCATAGGAAATCTTCATTTGACATTATATTATATACCTGAAGCAGCATGAACAGCCAATATTAGCAGGCCGTAATCACCTTGTTCAGGTATGCAACATGTTGCCTTACCAGCCCAGAACAGATGAATATCTAGGTAATTCTCTGTCACATTAACCTTGAAGGGTCTCGCAACTGCTCTGTTAACCCCACCTGCCTCCTTCGATATGTCGAAGTCCTTCCTTCTGAGGTTTCCCTAGGAAGCAAATGAAGAGATAGTTAAATAATTCTGTCTAATGAGGTTGCCTTTACTTTAATTAGCTTAAGTTTTTTTTTCTTTATTAGCAGCCTTACTTGAATATAGATATCAAATACACACCTTCCTAGACTTTGTGAAGTTTGTGTATCACGGCTAGCAAAAACCGTTTCTGCAAATTGCAATGTTACAGTATAAGGTCCATTCTGAAGACCCAGGCCATAGTATCTCAGTGAACCTGGGGACACTCTTGAAGTCTCAAAAAGCTCTGGTGTCAAATCTGCACCAGAGACTTGCGTAAGGGTGGTTTCCACAAATGATTGATTCAAATTATCAGGAAAACCCGCATTGCTAACAGCCCATTTCTGTGTACTGGTTACATTAAATGTTGCTGGGCCAAGAGCTGAGTCTTCAGCCTCATACAATATGCCATCATTTCCTCTCATTTGTGGTCCTCCACACTTGATTGAGAAGTTTGTATCTGTACAATTCAGTGTAATAGCACAAGCTATGATTAGTGAAAAAACTTCAAACTGATGTAATAGCACAAGATATGCTTACTAGATTTATCAAGACATTCCTACAGTATGTATACATAATGAGATAAGCAATGCCTATTGCTGTAACATGATCTTGCATTAAAGAAATAAATGCTAGTGAAATATAGAAGAAGATTACATCGTGGGGTATTTCGATTGCATGGAAAAATCCTCTGGAGGCAATTCAATCCAGAACACAGAGAAGAATTATTATTTATAGTAATTAAACTGTAGTGGAAGAATACATTAAACTGCAAAAGTGTAATAGCAATCACTTTATGTTTGAACTATCCGTCTAAAAAAAAGGGTATTTCGATTCAACTCACGTTATGTTTGAACTGTCAAATGTGAAGTTGTTGACCACAAAATTCCTGCATAAAATCATTAATCAATCCACATATGAAGATGAAAATTTTGTGTTCAAGATCTCAACATATCAGTACTTCAAATCCATCCCTTCTAATTTATTGAATTTCATTCATGTGGTATTATATATGCACAATGAAGGTGATTTGGACCATAAAAATGAAGGTGAAAGATAAAAGGGAGACATACAGTTGCGATATTGTGGTTACCCATGGGGGAAAGCTTCCTGAGAAATAGTTGTAAGACAAATCTCTGCACATAACAATACAGAATGAGAAGGCACAAAAATGCATGAAAGTTCAAAGGAATTTAAGTAAGAAAAAGGCTGCCAGAATGCACACACACACACAGAGTACTGGTTTCATTGCCAGTACATATAGCATACTTTTATGACATTAGGACTTACACAGTCTGAAGTGATTGCTCTTTTGGCCTGGAAGAGGTCCAGACAGACTATTGTTTCCAAGAAATCTGGCCATATCAATTATAGGAGGCACCCAGAAAAAAAAAAAAAAAAAAAAACAAGAAAAAGGTCAGATGAACGACTAAGTTTCTGAGCAGGAAATTCAATGTCATAGGTACAGAAAAGGGGAATAATGAAGCAGGCCTTATTACAAATATGTAAGAGAACTCATGTTGAACAAAGAACTTGGGAGTTCGCCTGTTAAATTGTTGAAACCCAGATCCCAGCAACATGAGTGATAAGTTAGAGGAACAATTAGAATGATAAGAAAATTAATTGGTATCTTTGGGATTCAAGCTTATATATCTGCTGGAACGTACAGTATCTGTAAACGTTGATGTTCTCCAAAATCAGTAGGGATGCTACTATTGAAAAGGAAAACGAAGTTTGATCACAGTGCGTGAATGAATGAGGTGTTAACTTACAAATCAGTTAAGTTCTTCAAATTTCTTATTAAATCAAGAGACGAGCTCACATAATATATATCACTGATTCGCCTTCATTATCATACACAAACATAAATGATGCCCAGTAAATGGAGGGGAGAGAGAGAGAAAGACAGAGAGTTTAAAATGTATTAAGCATTTGCCCTTACAGAGATTCCAATGAAGTCAGTTGAGAAAAACTGGTTGGTATTGGGCCTTCAAAAGAGTTCCCTTGAGATGCTTGTGAATAAAAGACCGATCTCAGCCATGCAGATCTGCTTTCATAAACTGCAGAAGGTTAAAAGTTTGCCATACAAAGAAGTCAGTTTTCTCCAATGAAAGAAGGTATCTTTCCTGAGAAAGGATTGTCTGATGCATAGCTAAAATTCAAAAAGTTGACTCATAGTAAGCTCATCCCAGAATAGAAATCTCAAAGTACCGAATAAACAAAAAACTTACAGGATTTTCATGTTGATGAGCTTAGCAAATGTTGAAGGAATTTCTCCACCGAGTCCACAGCTGTCCATGTAACTGTGAAAATAATAAACTGATTGCTACCAATTTCATACGATAAACGCATTCCTTGCTCATCGATAATGAATTAACAAATAAACTGCTCCTTTAAGAGAAAATAATTACACATTGCAACATGTGATTCAAATTCGATGAGTTAAAAGAAGCACTCACAATAGCCCGAGATTGACTAAGTTACCAAGTTCTGGAGGGAGTGTTTCGGAGAAATTATTTGATCCAAAGGACCTGCAACAAGTCATGTTGAAGAGGTATAGAATTAAATGATATGGGGTTCTATATTTAACACGTCCCAATTGAGCATTTCTCAGTTGTCTTTGCTTACAGCATAGTTAGCTCCTTAAGGTTTCCAAGCTCCTTAGGGATGGGCCCAGAGAATGAATTGTTAGCTCCTTAAAGATATTAGCACCCGTTTTTAATTCAGGATAAAAACAGAGTAATTTTATGTATAGTACTATGTTCTCCTTTGGCCATATGGTATAACTCATTTGGGAGTCTATGTTTCACTACTTACAATATTTTCAACGCAGACATATTGCCGATGAATGCTGGTAGGGGACCGGTGAAATAGTTCAGATCAAGTTTCCTACAAGAATTGAAACAAAATGCAATGACCAGCGATTAATCTCTGAGTATAAAAAGTATTCGCGACAATTTTGAACGGTAAGAAACCTGTGTCTTTTATATGAGAAGGGAGTTGGAAAAACTTCATACAAAACTGCCAGATATCTTAAAGCCTCAAATTCTTTTGGAAACACCCCTCGTTTGTCCAGAACATGAACTGGACTGGAAAGAAAAAAGATTGAATAGTTAGGCACTTAACATTACAATTGATATGCCAGGCATGTTCTGCTTAGTTTTCTAAACTTGATAATTAATTGATTTGCTACAGTCAACAACACAAGACTAACGAATATGGAGAGAGAGAGAGAGAGAGAGAGAGAGAGAGAGAGAGAGGAGGGTAATAACATACAGTTTGGTGATGTGGCAGGTAGTATTTTTGTCATAAGTACAGTCACAAGTGATGGCTGGATTATTCTCTGGCTTTTCAAATTGATGGAAAATCTAATGCATTGCTCTCCTCCACTGATAAGCAGGGCTTGCATGTCCCATTGCTTGAATATTGAGATCAACGCCGTCACTGCATTCTCAATTCAATCATTGCGTACACCACATAACGTATTTATTCTATACCTGAAAGATGGCTAGTACCTTCAGATGGATCGGACATTTTGAGCCATGGACACATGAAACCAGAAGCAGCTGAGAAAGCATAGACTGCAAAAGAAGCCAAAGGACGCTGAAAGAGGCCATTGTTGTTTCAGACTTCCAGTCAATCGCAGTGTTTGAAAAATCGGCCTAGGCCGGCGGCTAGGTCGCTAGGCGGGCTCGAGGCGGCTAGGCTGTCGCTATGAAGGAGCAAGGTGGCTAGGCTGTTGCTAGGCGGGTGCGAGGCGGCTAGGCGGTCGCTAGGCGGGCGCGAGGATGCTAGGCGGTCGCTAGGCGGCTAGGTGGTAGCTAGGCGGGCGCCTAGCCGGTTGGGTCTTTTTTCATTGCCGAACCCGGAGGACGAAGCGGCCGAAACCAAACAAAACAAATCGAAGCTTGAGTTGATAGAGAAGCGAAATGGCTTGACTGCAAGTGCAAGTTCCGTACTCTGCAAGTGCAAGCTTCGTGTTCGCCTGGAATATATTTAAAGAGTATAGCCGCTCGGCTATAATTTTAAAATATTCTACTCTCTTTGAATTGGCAATAAAGAAACAAGGCCTTATTGGATATTTTGGATGACAAAATGTCATAGAATCGATTTTTTTAACACAAATATTTTTTTATCGGGTAATTATCCTTCTTTTATTTGACACAAGTTTTCAACCATTAGATTAGAGTACAATGACTAGCTAAAATAAAACAAACTAATTTTTTATATATATTTTTAAATATAATGATATATTTGTAATTAATTATTGACTTTCCCATTCCATTTTCTCTCTCTGTATTAATATTTGGCTTTTTTATTATTATTTATATACCCCCTGAAAATGTATTTTGCCCCCTGAATAAGAACGAATCTATGTACAGGTTAGGCTTGGGCTCTAGTATAGTGTAAAATTTTTTAAATACTAAACTTAGTACAAATTTAATAAGCTAATCCTACTCCAAAAAATATTAGCCCACGATCTCTTTGTCTCCTAGCCTGTGATTGTTTTTTGTTTAATATTAGCTCACCTCTTTTGACTAAAAAAAAACACATTTATGACTACTTTTGGAACAAATAACATGGTAGTAATAATAAATTACTATCAAAACAAACATGGGAAATATTTAATGTCTGCCAACATGAAAATTTAATAATTTCTTCATGCTCTATGTTCCCCAGTGGCCCTAAACCATTCCTCTTTTTGCCAAAATAAACTGTAAACCCCTCTTCTTTGGCTCTATTTTAAATATTTTTACGAGTATCAACTAATTAAGGTGGTTTTGAAGTTGAAACTCCAAGGCTTGAGGTTAAATAGTGGCTAGTCTGGTCCTTCTGTAGTTTGAATTGCTTCTGTTGAATTTGCATTGCTTCTTCTAGCTGCATAGTATTTCTGAGAGAAGGAGAAAGGTTTGTTATTATATTATTATTATTATTATTATTATTATTATTTTACATGGAGTCTCCAAAGCCAAGAAAAATATTAGCTCCCTTTCCTGAATCTGTCCTTGCCCTTGAAACTCATTTTGTCTCACTTTACTCCATTTTCCACACATATTTGCCTCACTTTGCCTCGATTCCACTAAGGCCAACAATTTCTGGTCAAAATATTAATTAAAAGCTAAATTTTAAATAAGATTAAATATTTAAAACATAATGTATATTAATTGAGTTTTAAATTTTTAATTAATATTTTGACCGGAAATTGTTGGCCTTGCCAGAATCTAGACAAAGTGAGATAAATATGTGTGAAAAAAGGAGTAAAGTGAGACAAAATGAGTTTCAAGAGGCAAAGGGAGACTCAAATACACTTTGAGGGGGCATATCATAAAATAAGCCTTAATATTTTGGGAGCTTTAAGTCATGTTTGGTATCCTACTTAAAAAAGTAAATTCAAAAACTATGATTCTTGTTAAAAACATGAGTTTTCAAAGAGTGATTTTGAGATCATAAACTTGTTTGGTATTGAACTCCAAACTATTTTCAAGATCTAAAAAATTGGAATTAAATGAGCCCAAGAAAACATGTGTTGTATGACAACATAAGTTGAATGAGCCCAAGAAACACTATGGCTAAAATACAAGGATGGGGTTTTGCTTCATCTTTTGTATTGGCTTATACAAGCCACACTTAGACCGTTTTCTTTGTAGGGTTTGAAGAATCCAACTTTGGAGTGGGTTTGAGAGGAGAGAAATCTCCACTCTACCATGCTAGAACCGGCCACCAAGAGGAGAGGGCTAGCACCTTACCTCCTCTTGGTCATCTTCTTCATCTCTTACACTACTCTTGTGTGTATGAACTAGAGGGTATCTACTTTGGTACCTTGTGAAGACTCTATAAAGCAAGCAACAAGGAAGAAGGTCTTTCCAAAGGTGAAAACTCGGAGACCATCCAAGAGAGCTTCAAGGATAAGAAGGTCTCATCCTTTCCTCCCTTTTCTTTTGTGCATAAGTGAGATTAGACCTAGAAAGATACTTGGAATTTGGTAGCATTAGGTTTAACAAGATCTAAAAGTCGCTTCCGCCTCTTTGAATGTTTGATTCATGTATGTTGTAGCTTAAAATCCATGAGTTTAAATTTAAATGCATGTTTCCTTCAGAGGCTGAGTTATGAAGTCTCCTTAGAGGTTTGCAAATGGCTTGGGCTAAGGGTATTAGGACCCTTGATGTTGAATGTGACTCTTTTATCTGTTGTTTCTCTGATGGCTAAGGCTTCTGGAGAAATGAGGAAACAAGTATGGAGACAGTGAAGAAGTTCTTGGAGAAAGAAGGTGAAATGGCGATGACAATGGATGGGCTGCCAGACAAGTTCTTTGAGTCCTCTATCATGGAAGGCATTAAAGTTGATCTCCTTGAACCCGGTCGTACTATTTGCTTCTTCAAAGTAACACCCACCACCCTCGTTTACTGAAAGGAGGCAATTTCATGCATGGTGGAGCCTATGCTTACCCTGGTGAGGAAGTTGAGATTGAGGCCAAGGCTTTACGAGTTTAGAAGGCTGTTGATGTTGCCAGTTTTGAGTTAAGGAAGAAGAAGACATGCTCAAGGCCATCATATACCAAGTACCTTGCTCTTGCTAGCAAAATCTGAACACCTTGGAAGTTGGAACTGAGACAATTCAGTCTGTGTTCCTATGTAAAGATTTTTCAACATTGAATAAATTTAGCTGAATTATATAAATTCACAGTTTGAGATACAAACCAATGATCAAATTTTCATCAGACTCGTATATAATATTGAGAAGTCTTTTGGTGTTGTCAATGTTGGGGAAATATTGTTGTCAAACTGGTGCTTCTCTCTACACTAAATAAAGTGTGAACAGCTTGGAACCAACCATTCAGTGTTTCAATTTACAAATTTGCGCTCATGATTAAGTTCACATAGTTTGACATGCAAGCAATGCTCGATTGCATCAATCCTCAGACTGATACCAATTCAAAAAAGGTATTATAAAAAAAATAAAATAAACCAGTAGTTTTAATTGCTTAACCTTTTGATCGTAACATGATACAACTGAATCAAGAAAAAAGAATTGACTATTTTAGTCATAATTCATTAAAATCACATTCCTCATTGTAATTGTATTCGTCATCGTGGTTGCATCCATTATATTCGTCATTTGCAACATATGTATCATCGTCATGGCCTTGTCTGGCTTCAGCCTCTTCAATATATCCATTACTTTCATGCTCAAAATCATCATCATGGCTGCCTTCAAAACTGCTCTTCTCATTTGACAGTTGCATATCACCATGACTACTGCCGCAATTAGACTTTGTGCCTTCTTCGAATGCAGGTGCATAACCCTGATTTTACACATGGGGAAAAAATTAGAAAAGGTTCTAGCAATTACTCGCAGAAAGACAACTCTATTCTCTAAAACCTACCAGGATTTCTAACTAGGAACTACATTGCATGGCAAAAAAAAAACTATTAACCGTGTAAAAAGATGAAAGATTTTCCTATTTTTTTAAGTCTCCCGTTAATTGCCCAATAAGTAAACAACCTGCACAATTGATCATTCTTTTACGTATTAAGTTCTATCTTGCCATGGTTTGTGACACTTGTATATAACTTTATTCCATTAAACAGGGATTTGGTGTCTGCACACTAACCAGACATTAAGAAAACAAAAAATATATTGAACAAGTAACATCATTTGACAATCGAAATTAAACGTGCCATTAGATTTGATTCGCTTTTAGTAGCTTGTAGTTTGTGCATCAGTTAACGAGATCTTGGATGTTGACAGAACATAATATGGGATTTGCAAAGCATGAATAAAGCAAAATTGATTCTAAAATAAGAGATATACAAGATGTTTACAAGCTCTTCATTTAATTTATCCAAAGCATCTATATCATAGTTGATTTTTGAACTCAGCCTCTGCAAGAACAAAATGTCACATTAGTATCTGTTAAATAAATTATAAGTAGGACAATCAACATTGCAGGAAAATTTAAGCACCAAAAATCCCATAAACCAGTTTATTAACTTACATTCTTAGTATCCATCACAGTAGATACTTTGACAGCCTTTTCTGGCTTTTTAGCTGGAGCAGCTTTCTTGGCCATTCTGACCCGTTTTCTACTTTCCCTGCCAATTTTATAGTTGCATATAGAGATCAATACATAAGACTCAATGCTGGCAGTAAAACATACACAGATAGTCGAAAGAATTAAAAATAAGTCAAATGCAAATAAGATTGAAGTGAAAACTTTCAACACAGTTATGCAGTGCGTGTGACTCCAATAACAGCTCAGAACTAGGCAAGAACTCTAAGCTGGATGAGACTTCCAAGCCTATGCGTCAGATCACAACGCACATATGACATGCAGCAAACATAAACTCAAATACAAGAAAAGAGGTCAGTTTTAAAAGTGAAGAATTCCCGCAGAATCACAGAGCTAAGGGGAATGAAGAGGCAAATAATGCAGGGGCTGATAATCATGATTAACTACAAAACTTCAATCATTTTCAATCTAAAGAATCAAAAGCCAAAAATATAGACAACAAATAAAAAAGAAACCATGGAACAAACAGAAACTAAGAAGCCCCTAGCGTTGCACCGAATCCTTGTGAACACACGTATGATAAAATTTATGGATATCCAAAGGCATTACCTTATCATAGTCCTTGTTCATTGCTTCCCAAATCATTCTTTTGAACAGTGCCGCCTGCTTGCGGTTAAGGTACCCAACAACCTACAAACCAAAAGCATCATGGCTTCCAGGCCAAAATTCCAAAAATAAAAAATTGAAGCAACAATCATATACAAATCCAAATCAAAGACAGCAGGTTACAGACAAGTCTAGACCAAGCACTATATACCAAGTGGCTATGATGGAAGTGATCTTGAAGAAAGCTAATGGATCATGGGCAGGGGGTAACTTTCAGTTTCAGGATCACTGCTATTGTCTTTTCATTAATTTTTACCCTTTATTTTCAAACACAGAAAATGTGGTTGATTGTCATGAACCAAGAACAAAACTTTTCACACTAACCATGAAAGGATATTCCAAGAGCATTGATATGTAGATTAAATTCAAATCATCATTGAGGAATTTAAGCATCTACCTTCTATTCATCAACTTGAGCAAAATGGGCAACCACGATTCAAACTCAAGAAAAGCGAGAGCAATATACATCGGTTTTTTATTTTTTAAAATAGTACGGCCGCGCGGCTATACTATTTTTTCTCTTCTTTTAAAAAATGGTATAGCCGCGCAGCTTTACTGTTCTGAGATGTGGCGCCCCTAGGTCCTTTTTTTAACATAGATAAATAGTATAGCCGACTGGTGATGCCCGGTTTTTTTTCAATAAAAAATAGTCCAACCGCGCGGCTATACTGATTTTTCACACATGGCCTATTCGTGGGGCCGGTCCTCTTTTGTGTTTTATAGATAGTATAGCCGAGCGGCTACTAGATTTTACTTACTTTTTTTTAATTTTATATATAGCTGTTCGGCTATACCCGATTTTTTATTTTTATTTTAAAAGGTATAGCCATCCAGCTTTACTGGGTTTTTATTTTTCTAATTACTTTTTTTAAATAGTATAGCCGGACGGCTATACGTGGTTTTTTCCTAGTATAGCCACCCAGCGTTACTGTTTTGACAAGTGGCGTCTAGCGCTAAGCGCGTCCTTTTTTTAATATATATAAATAGTATAGCCGTCCGACTACACCCGGTTTTTAATTTTGTTTAAAAAATAGTACAGCCGACCGGCTATACTCGGTTTTATTAATGTTTCTTTAAAAAAAAATTAGATTTAAAAATAATAATAATATAGCCGTAACGTTACTAGGTTGTATGTATACTCATTAGATTTGAGGCAATTTCATCCAAATTGCCATAAACCAAGAACAAAACTTTTCACAATTAGCATCGAACTAATTTATATCGGCAATTTGGTTCCTTCTAACGCCTTTCTCTCCCAATCCCCATCTTCCTTTCCCTCTTAACCCATTTATTATAGTACAGAAAGAAGAAGAAAATGCGAATCTGCAAGTGCCAAATTGAGGCTGAACCGCTCAAACTGCAAAACAGATGGAGGAAATTGAACCCATTTCCCAAATAAAAAGAAAATTCAAAACTTACATAGCTATTCTATCCAAAATAAAGTTAAGAATCTATTTGGCTGCCGAGAAAGTTGTAGTTCTGAACATTATTAGAATTTGGTATTACTGGGATGGGTGTTTTACATTTTTCATAAAGCAAAAACGAACAAAAATCAAAGGGCACAAAACTGCACTTTGTTTTGTTTAATTGGGGATTAGTTTTCTTCCGTTTTCACATCAACCAAGCATAGCTGGTTTTGATATACAAAATAATCACAAATCACAAATAGTTGGAGTATTTTGGAACAGATAGAGTTACCAAATGGGGAACTTGATTTCTCTTCATATTTTCTAGAGGTGGGCTGCAGACTTCGTTGTCACTTTTGACCTAGTTTCATATTTGTAGCAATTCAAGGATAAGTTAGTATTCCTGTCAATTTCATTGACAATGCAAAGGGCAATTTCGTCAACCCAAATATAAAAGGCACTTTGAAGTTTGATAAAAAGATGTGTAATTATGTTAAGAAACCCAAGGTCTCAAGAAGATTGAGAGAGGGCATAGGACCCCCTTGGCCTTAGCTCCCTCCACCCCTGAAATTACCCATGTCTCGCCCCAAGTCATGACCACACTTTGAAATTGCATGAAACCAAGATAGTTCACTTTAGCCATTATTCCCAGTTACAATAGTTTTGTATTAAAATTTGCCAAATGGTTTTGACATTACTTTTTATGCTAACAACACTTTAAAAATATTGCAAACATGAAACTGCTTTACTTCATCAACTAAGAAATCAATTGGCTCTATCACTCACCTATTCATGCTTTAAATAGACACCAAATGCACTCAAAGGAGGGTTTTTGCTTTAGCAAATGCTTTTGTTTTGCAAGGGACAGATTTCACAGTAATTTGTAAAAGTATGTAACGTGTTAGTTAGGACTGTTGCTAATTGCTCGTGACCCCGCATAGTACTCTCAGGTTATCCCAACCCTACTTTTCAAAAAAGCTTGTACTTTTGGCAATTAGGTTTGGCTACTTCAGATCCACCTACACTTGTGTTTTACGCTTTACAATGCCCCTTGGCTACATTATAATTCCGTAACTTTATATTTAAACACATGAATTTCTTTTATTTGGGGCAATGGAAATATTTAATGAACCAAAAAAGAGCTGCAAAGTGGCAGTAGACTAGCACCTTAACTCTGAAAATTAAAAGGAGATTCACTATTATACCCAATATAGGGGCCCAAATTATAAAAATACCCCATATGAAATGGACTTTATAAACACACCCAAAGCCTATTTACAACATAACAAATAGGCTTTAACTTCTTATAAATTAAAAAACTACCATAAATTTCTTAAAACAAGCCCAACCCCAAAATCTTATAAAAATACCCAAAACACTCAATAGGGCATTAAAGTAATTTAATAATCAATATTAAATTTAATAAGACCAGTTGTCATTTTTTGGGTTTTTTTTGGGTTTGTTTATAGAATTTCAATGGTGTAGGGTTTATTTATAATATTAGTGCTAAGAATGGGTATATCACTAAATCGTTAATTACTCAAATTTTCAATAATTGTTTAGACCTATGCACTATAAAATATGAGTGATGATTTAAACATTTACCATTTACATAAGGTACTAAGTTCGATTCTTCCTCTTTAATATTGTTTGTAATAATAATAAATCTCCTTTGGAAGCAAGAAATGAAGAGAGAGATAAATCTATATCCATGAAGGTGGCGCCCATGGTGGAAGTTAACAAAAATCTCGAAACGTGTAAAGCCTATTCAATCAAAGGACCTCCAATAGTAGCAATAATGAGACAACATGATTGATAGGCAGATAGCGTGAGCTTTTTTTGGTACTGACCTTCTTTCTTTTTATAAAGCCAACACTAAAATAAAGTGCAATTAATCGAACAATAATAAACTTCACTTTAGGATATATATAGCCGTTGCAAGATATGATATAGTAGTAGTACGGCCAAACCCCAAAAAGTCAAGAAAATGTAAAAAGGAAATAGGCATGGGACATGCTAGCTTTTTTTATTTTTTAATGACGGGCCAATAAACTCACACAATCGGCTAATACAATCCATAATTAAGTTGTACTATAGTTAGATATTGAATTCATCATAAATGTATATATCGTCCTGTGAGTCGACTATGAGACCTCCTCCAATCAACGAAGATACCAGTCGTTTCGCTGCACCTAAAAATAAAGATGCAAAGGAATTAAAAGCCTATTAATTAGTATCTACGCTCCTCCTCAAAAGACAAAAACAGAGTAGAAGAAAAAAAAAAACACAGAGAAAATTAGAGGGGAGAGATGGGCCCCACATCCAACCAGCTCAGCGCCATCTAGAACCCCTTGACTTTTTAAAACCCAATTTCTTTTTATGAGCCCAACCTTCCCACTCTCATGACATCTCCATTAAAAACTTAGCTGCCAAGAAAATGACAAAGACACAAAAAGAAAAAAAGGGTCGGTGATGATAACGCCTGGCACCCACCCACCTGGCAATCTCTGCTTCAAACACACCACTTCCACAACAAACCTCACACAAAACCCGTTTCCCTCTCTTCTTCCATTATTTTCCCCTCAAATTTTCCCAGGAAACAAACGCTATGTTGGATCCCAACGCAAACCCACATGAACACCCTTTCCTGTTCAACAGTGGCACAGAGAAAATCACAAGTGACACAAGCCATGATACTTGGCAGGCCATGAACTATGCCTCCCGGGCTCAGAAAACAGCTCAGAATTATGCAAACTACAGGAGCTGGAACAGCATGGGAGCTCGGATAAACGACAGAGCTTCTACTGATGATGACGAATACGACTCCGGTGTTTGCTCGCCGCCGTTGTGGGAAACGACAAGTCGTGTGAACAACTACCGGAGCTTGTCCCCTGCTTCTAGAACGCAAGCGATTGCCAGAGGGCAGAGGGAGATGATGGAGATGGTGAAGAACATGCCCGAGTCGTGTTATGAGCTTTCGTTGAAAGATCTGGTGGAGCATAAGAAGCCAATGGTGGATGAAGAAGATGATCAAGATCAAAATGAAGAAGAAGATGATAAAAGTACTCAAGTTTTGGTTAGGAGGGGAAATCTAAATGAAGAAGGGAATTATAAGAAGAAAAAGAGTGAGAAGAAGAAATTTGTTATGAGAAGTGGGAGTATAGATAGTGGGGGGTTTCTTTTGAAGATGGTTTTTCCAATTTCTTTGGGGCTCAATAAGAAAAACATGAACAAGATCAACAACAACAACAACAACAACAACAAGATGAAGAAGAGTGATAGTGTGGTGGTGGTTGCAAATAGCAATAATACAACAAGTGCAAAGGTGTCTCCAAAGCCTCAGGGGCAGGGGCAGGGGCAGGGGCAGGGGGTGGATGGATCTGTGAAGGTGGGTGTGGAGAGTGAGTGGTGGAAGATGAAGAGGCCTTCTGTTTCTGAAAGGAGCGAAAGTGGTGTTTCTAGTATTAACAGTGGAAGCAGGAAAAGCAGTGGCAGCAGCAGCATTAGCAGTTCTAGCACCAGAAGCATTAGCAGCAGCAGCAGGTATGTATTAATTCACTCACAGTTTTCATTTCATTAATTGTTTTTGTCTATTTCTTCCATTCATATCAATTTTTCATTAGGCTAAACAAATATTGCATATCAAGTCATTATAGGATGAAACAGGGAGATTTTAGTTTCATGGATTTCAGGAAAGAAATAAAAAACAAATCCTGGAAGAAAAAAAAACAAATTTTTATTGAAAATTCAACATTTTGGAAATTTCATCCAGAGTTCTGTTTTCCAGTAATGGAGGTCAAAGTCTCTTGTGAAGGAACAGAGAAAGGGCTAAAGGAAAAGCATACAAACGTGTAAAACTGATCAAGTTGAATGTAATTCACATTCTTCTTGCTGACCTAAAACCCAAAAACAAAGGGAAAAAATTCACATTCTAGAAACTGATTTTCCAACTGTCATGACTAAAATCGAGAGTTAGGACTGTGTGATGCAAAAGCAATGCAAGTTGCGGGTTTTTCCAAATTTGGCACGATTAGAAAATTGTTGGGAAGTTTACATCATCATTTTTGTATTAAGAACTTCTAGATATTTGTCAACATACAAGTGGTAGGTAATATATCAATTTTAGAAAATGGATGCCAACGGGGTTTAGCTCTAGTAAAAAAGGGTCTTGACTTGCAAGCTAGTGGTCTCAGGTTCGAACCCCATGACACATTGATAGTGTATGCGAAAGCGAAACCCCCTTCTCTTTGTAATTTAGACTATCGCTTGTATTAAACAAAAAAAAAGTGTATAAAATGGACATTTGGAATCATCTTACCAGTGACAAATTGTGCACCTATCTCCGTGTCCTTAATTTATTTTTTTTATTTTTAATGGTTTGATTTAAGAATGAGTTTATGGGTGCAATATTGCAGGCGCAAGAAGGGTGGCTGCTGGTCATTTATCATGCTCAAGAAGAATAAGAGGCGGGATTGATTGAAGGAGTTGCCTTCTAGATATAAAATGCTGGAGATTATTATTAATTAAATGTTTGTGTAATTATCTCTCAAATAAAAAAATGCTTAGGTATATATATAATAGAATATTGCAGACCAAATTTTCCGTTGCTTGTGTATAGTCTTGCAGTTTTTGAAAGAGATGGTAAATCTTTTTTCTTTCTTTTTTATTATTATTATTTTATAATATAATTTCCTGTTTTATTGGTATAATTCAACATCCGCTTGCTGAGAGCTGAGTGTTGCTTTCAGTTACACAACCGCTTGGACGGTCTGTAATGAATTCTATCCAATATGGTTTACTGATGATGAGTGTTATATTGGAAAAATTTGACTTATGGAAATATCTGGCTTCAAACGTGTTGACTATTCTGATACCACTTGTTAAAAATCCACGTGTAGCTCGTTTGTTTGTATATAACATGACGTGACTCTGATACTAATTGTTAAGAACTCACGTGTAGAACTGCTAGATATTTGATTTTCTTGTAGGGAGAGGATGGTTTTCTTGAAGTTGAAGGTAACTTCGAAGAAAAGAATGATTATGTTGTAGGTAGGCACTAAATTTTTCTTGCAAGATGCCAGACTTGTAAGCATGGAATGACGAAATATTATATGTATATGTAAAAGATATGGAAAACAGAGTAATGATTACATTTTGAATCCATGTATGTGGGCTGTTCTCAACTACTTTACAGAAGTTGATGTCTATCACAAATATTATTTGCCAATTTTATTTTTTTGTCAAGGGAATATTCTCATGCTTCAATATACTATATTATTCCCAGTCACAATTATTATTTTTATTATATAATATCAACTTGTTCTAGAACGTCCAAATTTAGTAGAGCGGTTTGGTCTATTTTCCACTTTGCTCCCTGTCCTTTCAATTTTTACAATTCTAGTCCTGTACTTTTCTTTACGTAGCAATGAAGTCCTACAAATGTAAAATTATTAGGAAAAAAGACAAAAGTATCTTCACATGTGGTAGTTGTATATTGTCACATTGAATATCATCAATTAATTTAACCGAGTTTAAGATTTGGACTTGATTGCCAACCAAACTTACTACAACACTAAAATTTTCTAAATCAAAATGAAAAGAATTAAGGGAGATTCACTATTATATCCAATATAGGGGTCCAAATTATAAAAATACCCCATATGAAATGGACTTTAAAAACACACCCAAAGTCCATTTACAATATAACAAAGAGGCTTTTAACTTCTTATAAATTACAAAACTGCCATCAATTTTTTAAAACAAGCCAAACCCCAAAATCTCATAAAAATACTCAAAACACTCAATAGGACATCAAAGTAATTTAATAATCAATATTAAATTCAATAAGGTCAGCTGTCATTTTTTTGGTTTTTTTTTGTTTGTTTATAGAAATTCAATTGTGTAGGATTTATCTATAATATTAGTGCTAAGAATGGGTATATCACTAAATATCTCAAGAAGTAAAGTGAATAATAAATCAAATTATGAAAATAAAAAAAATAATAATTTTAATTTAAAAAAAAAAAAAAAAAAAAAAAAAAAAAAAAAAAAAAAAAAAAGGCAAACAAAACCACAAAGCGAGCCAGCCAGCTAGCCAAACCAAATTTCTATTCCGGAACACACTCCAACTTCAAAAGTGGGCAAACACAGGCAGGCAAAAAAGAGAAACATACACAAAAAGGGACACAATTCCTAAATTTAAGAGCCACATGTGTCCTTTGGGTTAGCCCGAGCTAAATATTTGGATGAGGCCCAATTGACATCACCTAGCCGTTATATGACATTAGCCATTTTTTTTATATATAAAAAATCCAAAAAAATTCTGAAGAATTCCTTTTAAAATAATAATAATAATAAATAAATAAATACTTACCTCATTCTTACATAATTTATCACAGCATCTTCATCATTTTACATATTATCCTTCCTCAATTTCATCCTTCAAAATAATTTCTCACAATCTCTTCATTCTTTTACAAACTATCTTCATTTTTTTTAAAGGGGAAGGCTACATTTAGCCCTCTAAAAAATAATTTTATAAGAAAAAGTGTCATGTTACATTTTAATCATCTTAGTAGCAAATGGTTAAATTTAATATTTTAATAATTTTAGTATATTATGTAAATTTATTAGTTAATTTAATTAAATTACTATTTATATCCTATTTAAAATACATTTTAGAAGAGAAAAATATTTTAGGATATGATTTTTGACATCCACGTGTCCGCACATGATTAGCCCTATAGATTTACAATTAGATTTTTTCTTGTTCTAAAAACAACATAAAAATTAATTTAAATAAGAGATGGCTTAAAAGATTTATGTAAGTGACAAAATATTTCGTAATCAACCCAAAAACTTTGTTTATTTTTGTGTTTCTTTAAGACCCAGTAGCCCAAAACCCACCCCCAGCCGCCCAAGCCCATCCTTATCTCCTTGAACCCAGTAGATCTCTCCTCACGCAGTCCCCCTTCTAAACCTCGAGCGGGTCTTCTTCAGTAAAACCTGTGGTCTGCATCAAATTCTTCTGCCCTTTATCTTCTTCTTCTTCTTCAGTTTTTCTTAGGTTGCTTCAACTCCGATGACTTAACTCTAAAAGGTATTTCTTCATTTCCGCTTTTCTTTTTCTAGTTTAGGGTTTCATTTCTAATGGGATATTATATCCTCGTGTTTGCTCTGTTCAGTTGAGAAATGTCATATTCATTGGTGTCCAGTCAGTTTCTCTGCGTTTCTGAGCTTCTTTTGTTTTTGTTTGTTGTTTTTTTTCCTGCAGCTGTAAATATAATTTATGTGTTTGTGTGTCTGTATATATAATCTTATGTGTTCTTGTCTCTGTTGAAGCTTACTGATATTAATTTGGTCATGAAGTTTCTTCTTTTGATGCTGTTTGTTTACTAACTAGTAGAAGATTATTAATCCATTATTAGGGTGCATTTGCTATTTCTTATAATGTCTGATCGAGTGTATGGATTTCCATTTTCGTTGCTATTTTTCTGATAGTTATTTAGTAAATTATCTGTTCATGTGGTTCCATCCTAATCATCTAATTCTTGCTTCTCAACAAATCTGAATTTGCAGCTGGAGTTCAATCAGATGGTATTTAATTAGCTATTACTTGTTGGGACTTGGGACCTCCTAACGATGCCGGCATTAATCTCGCCAAGGTTGCTCCTTTTTGGAGAGTCTCTATCCTTCCATAAGTTCCCACATGTTTCTAGGAATGCTTGGTTCCATAGAAGTGTTTGTAGTCTGAGTCTTGCAAGCCTTGGCTTCAAAAATGATCACGAAACAGTAGAGACTGGGAAATTCAACGAAGCCAAGCTGCTGAATTCTCTTACAGAAGTCCCCAAAAGTAAAGCCAAGGTGGTTAGAAGCCATGTAGTCAAGGCAGCTGGGCCACATAGATTGCTTGAAATAGATTCGACTATCTTTAATGCTAAATCATTTTTGAGCTTGGGCTTCCACCTTTGTTGATAGAGAGGTTAGAGAAGGAAGGCTTTAAGACTCCAACTGATGTTCAAGCCACTGCAATTCCAACAATCCTTAAAGATCATGATGTTGTGATTCAATCTTACACAGGCTCAGGAAAAACATTGGCTTATCTTCTTCCCATCCTGTCTGAAGTTGGCCCGCTAAAGACAAGAACATCTGATGATGATGGTGAACCTGGGAAGAAAACAGACATAGAAGCAGTAATTGTGGCTCCTTCAAGGGAGCTGGGTATGCAAATTGTGAGAGAGTTTGAGAAGATATTAGGACCTGCAAACAAAAAAGTAGTTCAGCAGCTTGTAGGGGGTGCAAATCGATCAAGACAGGAAGAAGCACTGAGGAAAAATAAACCTTGCATTGTTGTTGGGACCCCGGGAAGGATTTCGGAGATTAGTGCAGCTGGGAAGCTTCACACCCATGGCTGCCGTTTCTTGGTCTTAGATGAGGTTGATCAACTGCTTTCATTTAATTTTCGGGAGGACATGCACCGGATATTGGAACATGTTGGGAGGAAATCCAGTGGAGACTCACGTGGACCAAAAGGCTCCCTTGCCAAGCGGGCTGAGCGTCAGACTGTTCTGGTTTCTGCCACAGTACCATTTTCAGTGATACGAGCAGCCAGGAGCTGGGGGCACGATCCACTTCTCATCCAAGCCAAAAAAGTCATTTCCATTGAATCTATTTCTCCCTCTGGACCCATTAATTTGTCAGGACAGTCAACCAGTTCTGATCCATCCTCAAATGTGCAGACTCAGGCTGCAATACAGAGCCTTCCTCCATCTCTAAAACACTACTACTGCGTTACAAAGTTACAACACAAGGTTGACACGTTGAGAAGATGTGTTCATGCTCTTGATGCCAAGTCCGTTATCGTCTTCATGAACCACACTAAGCAACTAAAAGATACCGTCTTCAAGCTGGAGGCTCGTGGAATGATAGCAGCAGAGCTACATGGGGATCTTGGTAAACTTGGTAGGACAACAACTCTGAAAAAGTTCAAGAATGGGGAGGTTAGAATTCTGGTGACGAATGAACTTTCAGCAAGGGGTTTGGATGTGGCAGAATGTGATCTTGTAGTAAATCTGGACTTACCCACTGATTCTATTCATTATGCACATCGAGCCGGTCGGACTGGTCGGCTTGGCAGGAAGGGCACTGTCATAACAATATGCGAAGAGTCAGAAGTTTTTGTCGTGAAGAAGCTGCAGAGGCAGCTTAGCGTTCCAATTGCAACTTGTGAGTTCACAGAGGGCAAGTTTGTTATCACCGAAGAAGAGAAGGCTCTACCAGCTCTGAGGTGATGATAATTTACTACCTATACTTATTGCAGTGTTGCAACTTTTGGAAATTGCAATCAGTTAATTCACTAATATAATTCCTCATAGAAAAGTTTATTAATATAGTTATGTTTTTTAGCATACTGTGAGAACAATGAGGGGTTGGTGCAATCAATGAACTAAATGATCCAAATTGTTTCTTTCTTTTGTTGAAGTTATTTGAAAAGCATCAAATACTACTCAAAATGCCACATGGTTTGAAGCATCATTTAAGCTCCCCATCCATACTGATTTCAGTTCTTTTTGTGTTGAATAGGGTTTAGGGTTTTAATATACTGCCATTTCATGGTCCAAAATAAAAGAAATTAGTTTTTTGAAAGCTACTGAAATATGCTATACCAAGGGGCAGCTCAAGTGCATATCTGAAATAGCTTGTAATTAGCCATTTAACTTTGGTCATCCGTAAACTCCAAAAATTCAAGCTTTTTCTGAGAATTTGGGTGGGGTTAAGCTGAATGCATACTTTGGGTCCACGAGGCCAATAGCAATTAGCAACCTTCCTAACTAGGGCTGGGCATTTCCATGTGGCCAAACCGGACCTGTCGGGCCAGTTGTCCGGTTTCCAAAAAATCAAGCCGAATCTCACCGAGGCCGGCCCTAGGCCCAAACTACACACTTTCACATAAGTTGTTCTCTTCTTTGCCCCATGCGGGGACAGTCAGATAAAACCCTTAATTTGGTTTGGTACAAACCCACGAAAAGCAGCACAAATTAAACCCTTCATTTGGTTTTGGTTTTGGGTGAAGTCTTATTTGAAAGACTAATGCTATTTGGAGACACAATATTAACCACCTTAACTGATCATCTTATGTGGCAATTGATGTGTCATGCCATGTCAATTAATAAATGTTGCCATGAGACCACTCACTAGGAATGCTAATGTTTTTTAATTGACATGGCGACATTCATTAATTGACATGGCATGACACATCAGTTGCCACATAAGGTGGTCAGTTAAGGTGGTCAATGTTGTGTGTCTAAATAGCATTATTCTATAGGGCAAAGGTGCTCTAGCACCATTACACACAAACAGAGATCTTAATATAACAACTTAGTATACCCCTAATAGGATAGAAAAACTTGTGTGAAACAGAGATAACACTGTTTTGCTATCCCGAACGAATTACAAATTGCCACATGCAAAACGGTGCTATCCTCGTTTAAGACAAGTGTTACTCCTTATAGGGACCTTTATTTTTGTCTTAAGAGGAAAAATTAACCCTCTTGCCACTGGAGGTCCCAAGGGGCCCTTATTACTTTATTATTATTATTATTTTTATCAAATATGAATAATTTTATTCATCACTATCACCAAACAAACGATAAAAGTTTACAGACGAACGGAGGGCTTTAATGTGGCCTCATTAAAACCTTGCCATAAAAAATCCCTAATGGAGAAAAATCCGGTCAAGAAAAAAGATTACCCCCAATAGAGCCCTTATTACTTGACTATCTTAATGTTTTTAATACTTATAATTTTTTTTTTTTTTTTTTTTTTTTTTTTTTTTTTTTTTTTTTTTCTAATTTCAATTATTATTATTATTGTTATTATTTATTGAAAAGAAGCAGCTTCATTTGGTGTTAGCTAGAGCAGAGCCTCATTGATCAAGTTTGCTTTTGCTTCGATCACATGGTACTGAGAATTGGATTCCAAGTATTCTTTGTAAGTCATTTGACGATAAGAGGGTGGGTTATGTTCGTCTACAAACTCTGGTTCAGGCTTCACAGTTGCGTCCAATGATGGTCCAAAGAAGAAGGGTAAACTCGACCTTTCCACTTCTGTGTTTAAAGCCACCCGATGCAACAAGCTCTTGTACTTCCCATTGGTAAGAATCTGCAAACCACAAAATTAATTACAAATTAAATATGGCACAGGAATTTTAACAAACGAAACAAATAGGAGCTGTTTTTAAAGGTTAAAATGGAAAATATCCAACTTTTGTGACGGACTGAATTTTGTCACACGTACTTCAAATCATCCAATATAACTGATTTATTAAACCTAGAATTAAAGATATAATGTGCAAAAGAGAAAAAACTTGGCAAGATGATTAGATTTTTGTGGAGAAGAATTGAAAATTTGAGAAATGTATTGAAATGCACCAACCTCTATATGGTCAGCAACAAGGACACCAATGGAACTAGGAGCAAAATCTGCATTGAGCCACTTCCCTTGGTTCTTTATCTGAAGCCCCCCACCCACGTTTTGTGCGATGAGCACAAGCAAACCAGGGTCTCGATGAGGAAACTGCCCAATCTGATTCTTATCATCCGAGCAACGCGACAGAGATTGACAGAAATTTGGTCCCAAAATATTGTAGCCAGATTCCAACTTCATTTTCTTTTCTATGTAGCATTCTTCAAGCCCCAGAGATTTTGAGATCCCTCTAAGCAATTGGATGCCCATCTCTCGCATTCTCTCACTATACTCTTGCAAAACCCTGCTTTCATCATATATAAACACCAAAATTTGTTGATGCATGTTAGGTAATTAAGTTTAAACATAGATTCAAGTATCAAAACTATTTGTTGTACCATTTTTGAAAGAATAAAATTATTGTCTTAATTAACAAGATAAGTTTCATCCTAGACTACGTATCACATCATCTAGATACAAACATCTTTTATGTAACCTAATTTTTCTAAATACGACTACTAGTTTTATAATAATTAAATTTGTTAAAGCAGATGAAATCGATCCGGAGGTGAAGTGATAATCTATATGTAAAACAAAGTTTAGAAAAATAAGTGTCAACGAGATCTAGCTCAATGGAAAAGGGCCTTGTCTTGCAGATAAATGGTCTCAGGTTCAAAATCTCATGGTACTTCGCATTTAAAAAACTGCTAATACATTTAATGAATGCAATTTAACGGCTAAAATTAGAAGTATATAACCAATTCTTAATATAAAATACTTATTCGAGAATCACATTTTTGTTGTGTGAAAGTGAATTAATTACTTCATGCATGGCCAATGCGTGCGTTTAATATAGAAGGTGGTTTACATGGAATCGTCAGGTTTTGTTGGGCAGTGGAAAGTGGGATGTGTCCTCATGTGGAGAAGCTCTCTTTTGGTTACGCCGCCCAATATGAATCTGATTCTATCCGTCGGATCATTTGTCGCATACCGTCGCTTCTCCTCGTCCGTCTGATGAAAAAATCTGGAAAGCCAACTGGTAACACTACCTATCAGGCTATCTGGGATCCCATGATTTGTCACCTGCCAAATCATCAAGGCCACTACCACTCAAACTTGACAAAGAAATATTATACGTGCCAGATGCTGCAATATATTCATTTTCATAATTAAGAAACAAGTTTTTTGTTTAAGATTTTTGAGGTTTCTTTTTCATAAATTAAAAAAATAATAAAAAAATAGTGAGCTATAGATAACCAAAAAGTTCTAGATTTGGATGAATTTTCTTTTGGGGTATACCTTTGAAAGAGGAACATTGTTGAATGATTCCAACAATGAGATCCATTTTTCCTACTAATCAAAAGGGATCTTTGTAAGGAGAGAATATACATGCATGTACATATATAGAATGACCTTATTTTGGGAAAAATGCACACCTATTTTATTTAGGTCTACTCAACGATGTAGTTCAGTGATCAGAATCGTCAATGCGAAAAATAAAAATAAAAATCATAGTTTGTTAGATAAAACTGAAACATAAGAACATCATTAATGTTCATAATACAACATATATGTATGTAATAGATGATATATATGAACTTGTAAAATCATGTGGTCAAGCTAATGCGGTCTAAAAACGTGTTCAATTAGCAATTTTAGTGTAGTGAAAAATAGAGACAAATGGAAGGAGGAAGAGGTAGGTATACTGTGAAGAAGCCATAGTTGAGGCAAGCTTGATTGAGGTCACTGACAGCTTGAGAGCTTTTGAGAGAATCATTGGAGATGAGCATGGACTAGTCAATGACTGGAGTTTGAACATAACATGACTCATGGCCAAAGCAAGTTTGAGTAAGCAGTTGTGGAGTTGCTTCAGTTCCAGTCATTGTGTGTGTTGTGAGAAAAGGAGAGAGAGAGAGAGGGGCTAGTTGAGACTAAATGAGACTGACAAACTCAGAAGAAAAAAAGCTTAAATGCATGCAAATATCAGAACCCAAAGCCACCATATTTATAGCCAGAAACACTCCAGCCACACTTGCCCTCCACTCGTGTCATCACATCCTTACCAGCGCGTCACCCACTCTGCTAACATGATGTACACTTCCACTTTCTTCATTTCTGCTAATTTTCACCCTTTTGTTTTTCTTCATATATGTCTTACATATATATCGCTCAAGCTTTCGTTTGCTTCACTATGTTATGCATTTCTTATAGTTCGTATTAACCAACATCAAGAAATTTTAATATCTGTTTCTTCTTATAAAAAGTAAAATAAAATTGGGATATGCTATTTTATTTATATATATTGTTTTGTGTTTTATTTTCTATTCTTTAAAAAAAAATATTAATAGTAAAAGTAAATTTTGGTGGATTCAACAGTGTAGTTGCTGTGAATTGTTACTATAGATAGAAAAGTGTAAATGAAGCGAGGATAGGAAACTAGAGTGGATTGACTATGATTAGCTATGCACTCTTATTACAACATGCTTAACAACTAATAGAAACATGACAAGTGGCAAAAAATATCTATAAGATTGGTTCGGATTTAAATCAAACAAAAATTCAATTTAATTAATTTGGATTATATCGAAATTAGCATCTAATCCAATCCAACCCATAAATAACACATTACACCCATTAATGCCAAACCAATTTTTAACAAATTACTCTTCAACTGACGTTAAAATAAGTGAATAGGTGGGATATAGGCTTGTCACGCAAGTAATTACGACAATTTTGATGATGAAGTTAACGCTGGAACCAGAATGCACAAAATTGAAAAGCTTAAGATATGTAATCGTTAAATTAGGAGTATAGGGACAAACGTACCTTAAAGGTAAGAATTCAACATACTAAATTGAAATTAACCCAAAATACAATTTGAGTGCCGCCAACAGTATATTATATATACTTAGATATTAACGTACCAATTCCTTAGTCGTACAACATCAATTTAGTCTCAAAATATAGGTAAACTGCTAACTAATTTAGCCTTAGAGCATAGGTTGCTTGCCTTTCCCTATCAACGTATCATGTTTGGGACCGAGCTTATGTGGATTAAAATGGTATCCGGCAAAGCTAGCTTATTTAGACTTTGATACTTTGGGGTAAAAAATAATCCCACGTCGATTGTTCCACGAAGGTAACACATTTCATGCTTAATACCTATCCAATATCTTCCGTATATATAATACAAGGTTCTCATTGGTCATGAATGATCAGCGATGACCATGCATGACTATGTCACATATGGAGGTGTTGTAAGCCTCAGATAATTTCGACAAATTAATAATGTCTTCGCTGATTTATGCGTGGCCGACAATATGGACTATTTCACTCTCGGGAATTAGTTTTAAACCAAGACATTTTTAGTTGAAAATGAAAGCCATAAAAAACTGTGGAAATAACTCAAGAATGGACAGCTGTGTTGTATTTGCTTCCCGTTTTGGGCTTTTTTAATACAACAATCTCTTTCAGACCAAAAAAAAAAAAAAAAAAATAAAAACAACTAAAATAAAATAAAATATTTGCACATTTTGATAAGGGATTGATTTGCAGATTAAAGGTCTCCTGTTCGAATTCAAATGGTATCTTAGTTCTGTATATATAAAAACCCCCTTCCGAGAGAGAAAGAGAGGAGTCCAAAACTGAAGTTGGATTTCACTGAAATTATCACCATCTAATATCTTAGTTTCCACGCATCTGAAATCACCATGGAAATTTCTTGGCTGACGGTTAATGAATAGACCCAATTTCACATAGGAAATTTCTTGGCTTCTCCATGGAAAGATCCATTTCCTTTTACTTTATTTGAAATGTGTGCAGACAATTTTGAATCAGTATGTATACGTATAGAGTTATGATTTACATATACAGAAACATGTCAAGAGTAACTTGTTTTACGGAATGACCCAAACAATATTCTTTTATTTGTCTTTGATTCAAGAGCGGGGTTCAATATTTAATCATTCATTGTTGGTTTAATTTATGGGAGTTTCACTAAAACACCCAAAATGGGGACTGAAATTATAAAAAAACCCAACACCCAAAACACTTTATAAACACACTCAAAACCCATCATTACACACACTCAAAACTCATTTATAAACACAACCAAAAAATATGTAATTATTGATTTTGGGGTTGATTTTGGGTGTGTTTCTATGTTTAAATAGTGTTTGGGTTTTTTTATAAATACATGTCTAGAATTGAGTTTATTTATAAATTTGTATTAATTTATTTCGATCAAAGCTTTTATCTAAACTAAATTTCTAGCTTCATTCATTCTCAGTAGTTTTGATGGTTTGATCAATCAATTAAAATTTTCTCTCTTTAGGACATGTTCAATTTCACAGTTAAACTTGACCACAAGAAAATTATGCAACCACTCAAATAATTGACGTGACAATAAAATAAAATAAAAAGCATTATTTTATCATTCGCAATCAATCATGGTATGCTATATATGATAATTTTTCTAAGAGGCAGTTTGTAATTAACCGAAGATAGTAAAACAGTGTTATTTTCATTTTTTTTATTGTAATTTTTTTTTTTTTTTAATTATTTAAAAAGACTTCAACGTTTGGTTTATAACCCTCGTAACCAGCAACCAACTACCATAAGTTTGTCCAACATGAAAATATAGTAATCTACTGAAAATAATGACATGACAAAACCAGTTACTTTAATGGAGCAAGTTGATGTTCTATAAGTTTATCCAGTATACTCAGGTCATCATGTCAATTTGGTATTGTAGATGTATCATGTATACAAGTTGACAAGTTGCCAATTATAAAAAAAAGTATTAAAACCAGATTAATACACTCTGTAGAATAATTACGATAAAAAATTAGATGTAAATGATTATTCCGTAATTGGAATGAGCACTACTAAAAAACTGGTCAAAAATTACAAATTTAATAGCACAAATATAGGTAGGGGTGGTTGCGGTTCAGTAATCGCGAATTTTTGTCCAAATCGCAAACCGACCGACTATTTGTGGTATAGTGATTTTTGAAACTGCAAACCAACTGTTTTTTACAGTTTACTGCAGTAAACCGTAAAAAGCAGTCGGTTACCGTGAATTAACAGTTTAAAACCGCAAGTTCTTTTTGTGTCATAAAAATCCAATTTTCCACATTTTAGGCCTAATTTTGATACTTCTTTTGAAGCCTTTTGAGTTCAAGCATACATTAACCCAAAAATATAAATTCACAACCTAAATAAATAAATTCACAACATCAACTTCTCAAGCATATATAAATTCACAACCTCCTCAACTTCTCAAGCATTCACAACCTAAAAAAAATTAAAGTTACAATTCCAAATATTCCAATTAAAGTTAAATTCTCAAGTATTCACAACCTCAACTTCTCAAGCATTCCAATTCCAAATTCTTTAAAGTTACAAATCAAAAGGAAAATGCAATGCAAAATGAATTAAAGTTACAACCCAAAGGAAAAATCCAATTCAAAGTTAATTAAAGTTACAAACTAAAAGGAAAATACAATGCACCAATGTTACAAACTAAAGTTACAAACTCAAGTGTTGTTGGTGGTGAGTGGTTTTGAAGGACCTCGTTGTGTTGTTTGAGCACCAATGCTATCTATAAAATGCAAATTTTTTTTTTGAAAAAAAATATAGTCGCGGTTTGCGGTAACCGCAAGTTTTGAAAATCAAATACCTCAATCGTAACCACAAATGTAGTTCGGTTCTTCATACCGCAAATACGGTTCAGTTTCCCGCGATTACGATTTTATTGCGGTAAATTATCGGTTGATTTTTACGATTTTTCAATTTTTGAGTCTAAAATGCCACCTCTAAATATAGGTATGGTGCCCTCTTCTCTAACATTGAGCACAAATAAGTTTTATTCGTGCTCTTTTTGTATAAAATACAAATAATTGTGTCAAATCAATTTACAAAAAGCACAAATTTTTATTGGACACAAAGAGTTGTGCCGAATGTCAATTTAGAGGCCAAGCAATCCTAAGATGTTCTACAGGGCAGCAACCCGTGTTTGATGCCCTATGTTGTTTTTCAATTTTGAATTTCATTTAGGAATGGATGGGTGATACTCTTACGGAATTTCAATTAATGTTATTGTTATTTGATTTGGTTTCTTTAGTTTTATGTATTTAGTGATTTTCCTTGTTTCAAAATTTGGTCGTTTGGTTCTTGTGAAAATATTCTATCACTGCATTTGTATGCTATTCGGAGCATCTAGATCTACTAATTTGCTGAAATTTCAAATTCAATGTGATTGTTTATTCGTAAAAATTTTGATGTTTGCAATTTTGGGTGTAACTTGCTTCCTTGAAAACAAAAAGGAGGGGCGGAATCCAGCCTAAGCAAGTAGCAACTGGGTTGTGTAATATTTTTTTTAAATAATATATACAGCATTGAGCACGATTCTAAAGTTGTGTCTGTCTTTATACATATGTCTAATCAGTTCATAAAGTGACTGAGGAGATTGTCAGAATACAACCACAAATACTTTTTTTCGTGCTTTATATTGTTTGACACGAATTTGTGATTTGTGCCCTATGGTAATAGAAAAACCCCTATAGAAAACACCGTCAGCTTAAAGGTCGCTGCACTGTGGCTTTTGGACATAGAGCACAATTATTTGTGTCTCTTGCTGTTAAGAGCACAAATAAAAATGGTGCCCAAAGCCACGTATTCTAGTAGTGGAGACATATAGTTAGAAATTTCTCCAGCAAAGTACAAATTATATCATTAGAACAAATTAATGGTCGTTAATAAATGTGGGTTAGGTCAGTTGACAAGGGCAGTGATCCCACCATGTTGCATTCAGGTTTGATTCAAATGACTTAAGATAGAATTCCCTCCCGATAGATTATATCAATAGGTGCTGATTTTCCCACTTCCCTTTTATTTTTTTAATTATTTTTACTATAACATACAATTTCCAACAAGGGAGTATAAGTGGACAAAAGAGGAGTAGGAATATGTAATTTCCAACAAAGGGAGTGTAAGTGGATAAGAGGAGTGAGAACATATAATTTCCAACAAAGAGAATGTGAAAATTAGCTCCTTAAATTATAGCTTGGGTTAAAAAATAATGGAACTAGTTGATATATTTGAATATGTTCACAAATAAATAATGTCCTTCGTTAGCTGTTTCTTAAATTTTGGGTTAGTACAACAACAATCTTCAGTGCCCAAAGAAAAAAAAATTAGTATATTCCAGTTTCACAAAAAACAAAAAATAGATTAATATGATACAATACTCTCATCCGAGTACAAAAATGTAGCATTTTAATTTAAATATATTGGAAACGTAGCTAGAACATGTTAATACACCCATCATTATTGGCAATGGTCTAATACATTCACAATAAGACTATTCCATCATTAACTAGGTATCGAACTCATCACAAATATATTTAAATATATTCACAAATAAAATCTTATTAAATGAAGACAAATACCACTAAACCAAATGTTAATCCGTAAAAGGTATTGTTTGCTTGATTTCCCAAAACTCTTTTGCTTTGCTATGCACAAACAAACAATTTTGCTTACTAAGCAGTGCAAAACGTCATCAACATGACTCAAGCATAATGCAAATATTCCTCGCAAAAACTAATTTATTATTTCCTTGCCGCACCAATAATGTCAAATCTTATCCTTTGGTAAGATTAATGTGACCCTAGTTCGAATATCCCATGATTAAAAAGAACATCTTATTTTGTTAGGAGAACACATCCAAACTCGACTTCACATGATCAATAAGCATCACACATCCAACCTTGATTTCACACATGATCAGGCAACAACTACCTGTCTGTCCTTTAGCAACGTGAATTTTAAAACTTCGCGCAAAACAACTCCAAGTTGATACATGTTCACACCTCAATAAGCATCTCAAATAAACTGGTGTAACTAAGATTATTAGTTTATACTTTTGCGTAAAATATATTTTTTTTTCTAGCCAGGGGGTCCCATATATTCTCTTTATAAATCGGAGGAACGTGTTCGCATCAATGCATGCAAAACTAATCTTCTTGTCTCCCATTGCTCTTCCTTGTTAAGATCAACTAAATCTCTCTGCCTCTCCAAACACAGAAACAAAATGGCTGAGACAGCTCCAGTTCTTGTTAACCACAGGCCTTTTGAACCAAACCCTATCCTCTCCCTTCACTCCACTGACTCATCCATCATCAAACCTCATGATTCCATTGCGGTTGTTGATGATGTTGAGATCCCCACCGTTGATTACTTCATGTTATTCTCTGATGATCTTGATGAACGATCCAAAGCCCTCGAATACATAGGCCATGTCTGCAAGGACTTCGGCTTCTTCTATGTATGATTGTTTCTTTTCGTTTTGACAGGCTTTTTCTATGCTTTTATACATATCCTTTGTATTTTTTGCTTTCGTACGTTTAATCATAAAATGAAAATACCAAATAGGGTTTACTCGTTTCCTTAATATTTTATTGGTTTTTTTTTAAAATATTACAACTTTTCTATATTTTTATATCTATTTTAACAATATTACAATCTGGGAAATCGCATATGAGTGAGAAAAATAGTGTTATATATTTTGGAAAATTTATCTTGTCCGATATTATAGGAAATGTTCTCTTGTCTAAATTTGGGACGATTATAGTTTGACAACATAACATTTTATGTTAGACAGTTCAACCAGAAATCTCCAATATCTTTATCAAGTTAAGTTTCTTGCTTATTTCTCTACAAAAATGAACTTGAAAGGTTGATTTCTATTAATTCCATAATTGATCGGACTAAGCCAACGTGACCCAAAAATATTAGAGAAAATATGAACTAGTAAAGTTTCAGTTAGATTTCATACCTTGGATCTGAAGTATCAATCCAAGTAGATCCATGTAGATTATTTTCCTAAACTGGAATTGAAATCTTCTTTGACATTGAACATATGAAATATTTCATTTCATTTCTTCATTTGGCATGCAATATGTTCATTGTTTTTTTAATATTTTTATGATATTACAAATTGTTATGCTCTGAATTAAGTATTGAACTCATTACATTTCAGCTGGTAAACCATGGCATATCCGATAGCGTGTTTGAGGGTGTTTTCAAAGGAATTTCTGACTTCTTTAATCCAACGGAGATAGAGAGCCGAAAGCAGTACGAGAAAAAGAATCCAACAGATAGAATTCGATGGGGCTTACGATCTTCTCCTGGAGAGAATAGGGAATATCTCAAGATCATCGCGCATCCCCAGTATCACTGCCCTACTAAACCAGCTGGTTTCAGGTATATGATTTAATGTATCTACTATATTAAAATATTCTCTATGAGTTCTGCTATTTCCACCCACCAGTCATATTTTCCCACCCACCTTGTCTTCAAAATTTTAAAGACAAATTTACCCCTTTATAAAATGACTTCTAAGGACTTAAAGAAAAACCCTTAACACACTTATAACCTCTGCAACCTACAACGCCTTATCAACGTTCTCATGTGCTTTCGGGAAAAAATGTGTACTATCCAATATTCAAACAAACCCAATAAGAAAACATGAGCAAATGCTCAAAATTGTGAAAGAAATTCAAAATCCCAACATTTCCCGAGAGATCCGTTGTTTGGTCACTAAGAAATTAAAAGAAAAAAAAATCAAGAATCTCTAAGACCCATATTTGGTTTTATTAAGAAAAGTAAAGGCCAAGTCAAACTCAAAGTGAACCAAAACTATTGGTTCCATATTCTTGTTGAATAAGATTTTATGGCGACCCAAACAGAAAGTTAGGAGAAGACCCACATGGGGACGCATGGAGGTTTCAAGTGCAGAGAGAGAGGGATTGTTGTTTGAGATTCTTCTTCCTCCTCCTTCCCTCTTCTTTTGCATTGTTGTTTGAGAGTTGGAGAGAGAGGGATTGAATTTAATTGCATTATTAATTAATTAAAGGGTATTTTAGGAATAATGATGGGTGGAAAGATAAGATAATATTTTTTCAAATTTATATGGTGGGTGGTAAAATAGGACAGGTGGGTGGAAATAGCAGTACTCTTCTCTATTGTTAATCAATATACGGAAAATCCATCAGCATGCCCTAAAATCACATATATTTGGCTAATGGTTTTTCTATCCAGTGTGGTGAAAAATTTCTTAACTCTTAAATTCGAATCTTGCACTTGTTGGACAAAAAATAACATGTAGCATACGATGTTTGTGTGTCTCTCTCTCTCCTTCTCTCATCTAAGAATCTTCACAAGAAGTAAGATATTTTAATCCTTGTCTTCACATCACAAGAATAAATATGGTCAAGATCCGCGGTGTCGGGCATATTCTAATGGTGCCAGGTAAATGTTTTTGTTTTCAACAGTGAGTCCATGGAAGAGTATTTCAAGGGCTTGCGAGAGGTAGTACAGGGTTTGGGAAAGGCAGTGTCAAAAGCCTTGGGATTTGAAGAATGCTACATAGAAAAAGCTTTTAAGCTTGGAACGGGCTTTGATGTGTCAGCCATGAACCTCTACCCCCCAAATTTCAGATCAAAAGGTTCCATTGGTGTACCTGACCATACTGACCCTGGCTTCCTTGTTTCACTCATTCAAGATGTGAATGGTGGCTTACAAGTATTTTCCAATGATGGAAACTGCCTCAATGTCAATATGCCCACTAATGCCATTTTTATAAACCTTGGGGACCATCTTGAGGTACAAATCTATCCCTTAATAATTTGTTATATCTTTACTTATATCTTCATAATGATGTTTTTGTTAAATATAAATTCCCTAATCACTAACAAATACAAACACTCAACGAAAATTATATCCAACTTCACTATGAGCGAAATACAATTTTCTTTCGAATAACCGGTAGAGAATTCATCCAACTAGAAAAAAAAACATTAAAATGATTCTGGAGTGAAGGCTCCCTATTACTTACTAATTTTCTTGATTTAGATATTGACAAATGGGAAATACAAGAGCCATGTTCACCGAGTGGTTGTGGACAACAACAAAGTGAAGAGGATCTCAGTGGCTACGCTTCACGGACCTTCATTGGATGCATTTGTGAGCCCAGCACCAGAGTTTGTGGATGACTCTCACCCACCTGCATATCGTGGACTGACCTACAAGCAATCCTTACAAGCTCATGGCTCCGATGAGATCGATGTCCAATCTAGCATCGAACAAATTCGCCTTTAACCTTGATCTGCAGACAGTTAAATTGCGGGTGTCAATAAACTTGTACAAGTAATTGGTTCAAAATTTGTAGTTATAGAAACTGTAGTAAGCATATGTCATGTGGTTCAAAATATTATTTCAGTTGCGTGGGGTTCATTACTGTGTTGTCTGAATAAATTTGTATTTCCTAATAGATATTATGAAATGTTGGTAGTTAGTGTGAAATCAGTGACAGGAATCAATAAATCAATGTTCTAATTTATGTGCACTGATTATCTTTTTCCCATAAAAATCTGATAACTTATTGATAACATATTGAGCACAGAAGTGTTTAATTAGTTTTGCAGTATATGCAGAAGTTATTAATTAGTTTTGACTCAGATAGAATATAACCCCAGAGTTACATAAGGTGTAAATCCAGCACCTCCACAACAAGGTTACAACTTACAACAACAACAACGACCAGTAAACAAGAAAATTTAAATATAGCAATGACAAAATGGATCCTTCTAGCATCCACAATAAGGTTACTACATACATAAAATTCTCTCCAACATATATAAAAAGTTCTACCTTTTTCATCGTACAAAACTTTCCCGAATAAAAACTTTGGTATTGGATTTGATCTTGCTTTTCCCTACCAAATCTGCCACAACATCTAATCACCATTTTCTTCAAATTCTGAGGATGCTCAAGAATATACCTTGCAAAATCAGTTTCATTAGTCCCATCAGAGCTCTATGGTTACCTCCATAAGCTGGCCAATAAACACAAGATTTTGCATTTTCCAGTATCCCATATCAAACCTAGATGACTAGAAATTAAGACAAGAAAAAACACAAAAATTTAATAACTTGGCAATTATATTCTTGAGATAACCATAGGCAACCAAGACTTTCACTTACTTCAGATTTAGCATTCCCTCCGAATGGGCTACACTTTATGTGCAGAGTATTGAAATAAGACATTGCTCTAAAAAGAGATGTCACTGCTGGGAGTAGGTTATTGATAAGCCTATATTTTATAAATATATTTTATGCCTTCTTTGCTTATTTATTTGTTAATTTCCTTGGATTAAATTGGTTGTTTTTAATTGGTTTTGTGAGATTTGTGAAGGAATTGTGAAATAGGAAAGTGTGCTAAAAAGGGCAAGAAGATGAAGATTGGAGTTTAATTAAAAGAAGCCAAGTCATTCCTTTTGTTGCAAGGAATGTTGTCAAATTTCCTAGTTCAAAATGGTTCATGTCTTATCAAGTCAAACAATGAGAAATAAAGAAGACCTTACTTTAGAAGGAATCCTATTTTTATAATAATTGTAATTATACCTTAGATAGGTAGGATTTGTAGGAGTATTATAAATAGGGAGTTTAGGTCATTAATCAATCGATCCTCCATCATCTACCCTCAAATTCCTACACATTCATACTCATAGCCGAAACACTCAAAGGAGAGAGAGAGTTTTAGAGAGTCAAAGAAGACGACCTGGAGCTAGGGGTGTCAATTTCGGACACGACTTGAAACCCGTACGAGAAATTAGCAGGTTCAACCCGCATGATAAAAAAACAGGTCAATTTCGGGTCAACCCATTCTAACCCGTTTAATAAACGGGTGGGTTTCGGGTCAACCCATTCTAACCCGTTTAATAAACGGGTGGGTTTCGGGTCAACCCGCTAACCCGCTATAATACCTATCTAACCTATTTATTAAACGGGTTGTGTCAACCCATGTAATACACGTCAACCCGCGAAAAAATAAAGAGAAATGTAGAGTTCAACACACACACACAAGGGGTTTCGAACCTCCACAACCCACATTCCTCTCCAACACTTTATCCACCATGCTACATACAACTTTGTGATTTTATATTATGCCTTTTGATATTTATAATGTTTCTTTTTCTTCTTTTGTTTTCTGTCTATCTTCTCCTCTCTCTTTTTTCTTTATTTTCCTTCTCTCTTCTCTCCTCTCTCTTTTTTTTCTTTATTTTCCTTCTCTTTAATTTTCTCTCCTCCCTTTTTTTTTCTTTTCCTTCTCTTTAGTTTTCTCTCCTCTCTTTTTTATTCATTTTTTTATTTCTTTTCTTCTCTTTTCTTCTCTTTAGTTTTCTCCTCTCTTTTTCTTTTCCTTCTCTCTTCTCTCCTCTCTCTATCTTTTCCTTATATTTTCTCTCCTTTCTCCATTTTTTTAATTTAAATTTTTTCAATTGTGAGTTTTATAACATGCATGTTATTATTTATGAACTTGTTACACGACTCGAAACCCGCACAATAAAAGACGATCCGAACCCGACACGACACGTTTATTAAATGGATTGGGTTCGGATTGAGCATTCTTGACACGTTTATTATCCCGACAAGACACGAATCCAACACGACACGACCCATTGCCAGCCCTACCTGGAACTAGAGTTGCTGTCGTGCAGAGATCAAATCTTCAATTGGTTTTTTCTTTCTTATGATATTGTTTATCATGGTTTTTATTAGGGAGATGATTTTCCCACTCCCTTTTTCTCCACTTACACTCCTTTTTGTTTTTAATAATAATTTAATAAATTTTTTTTTTTTTTTTTTTTTTTTTTATTTCTTTCTCTATTTTACCCTTGATGACCATGGCAAGTGAAATACCCACTTTGGTGTTGATGTGTGAAAAAAAAAATACAGAATTCTTTAAAAATAATATTTTGAAACCAAAAAAAATAATATCCAAACCCCAATCACGCACTTTCTCTTCTCCCTTACACACCCACCCTTCCGTGTTCTCTCTTTCCCCCTCTTTCTTCAACAACAACCAAGCCCACCCGTTCTCATTTTCTCTCCCTCTTTTTCTCTCCTCACCCCTCTTTCTTCAAAAACCATCCAGGTTTTTTTATAAAAGTTCTGGGGTTTGAGTGTGGCTATCGGTGGGGCGATAAGGTCATTTGTGGAAGGCTGTGTGGGGTGCGGCATGGGGGTGGGTTGAGAAAGTTTTAATTGGTTGAGCTGAATCACAGAGTGTAAAGCTCCTTGAAGCGAAAAGCTTCTGACCCGAGCATTAGAAATTTCTCTTTGTTATCACTTAGTAGAAATGTTACAAGGAAGGACAACAAGTCAATGACTTTTGAGAATTTGGTGGGAATAAAACATGATTTTAACTGATGTTGCTTTTGGAGATAAAATAGAGAAAGTTGGCTTTGGAGATGAAAAATAAAATTTTGGTTTTTGAATTTGCAAAGAGAGGAGTAGAGAAAAGGAGTTAAGGGAGACTAAGCCATTGATGTTGTTGGGGCTAGGGGGCAGTGCAGTGGTGGATGGTGTGGGTGGTAATGGGGTGGTGGGCCTGAGTGCAGAGATGGAAGGAGGAGGAGGTTGATGGAGAGAGGGGGGTTGTTGGGGCTGGGGAAAATATTTTTGTTTTGTTTTGTAAAATTTTAAAGAATTCATCTATCCATTGAGAAATATATATATTAAAAATGAAGTGCAAGTGGGAAAAATAATAATATAAAAGTGAAGTAAGATAAGGGTAGAATAGGAAAGAGAAAGAATAAAAGAGAACAAAAGTGAATAAAAAATATTAAAAAGTAAAAAGGAGTATAAGTGGATAAAAGGGGAGTGGGAAAATCAGTTCCCTTTTATTAAAGTTGTCATGAACTAATTTCTTTTTTTCCATGTTGAGTATCTATTACCATGCTTAATGCATTGAATGTTTGGCCAACATTTAATTGTTTTTATGCTAAATTGACGATAGGGATATCCAATTTGGGGTTGCTTCTTGTAATAGATGCCATGAGTTACATGATTAGACAGAGATGTTTGTCATGACTTATGTGGTTGTTTTGTAGGTTTTCCAAGGAATTTAATGGGCTCTTATTATCTTAATTCCATTACTAGGGATATAGTGGGTTGGTAATAAAACTACTTTTGGTATAACCAAGAATAGAGTATTGAATAAAGTATGGAAAATCAACTGTCAACATGGAGAATAATTAGGATTGACATACTAAGGGAACTGGGGAGAATTAGCTATGGTGAAATCAGAAGCTCTAGTGCTATCATAACTCTTTAATCTCACTACTTTATTTTTCTATGCTTGCTTTTATTCATTCTTTTAGTTAATTAATCAATCGAATCTTATCATTAATTGTTCAAATAAAGTCTTGGGTTAATCACAATCGATACTTAGTAAATTAAATCACTCTTCATGGGAACGACACTTCACTCGTCACTATATCACTTGTGCGAATTGTGCGCTTGCAATAAATTTCACAACAGTCATCATTCAAGTTCCTAAGATGCAAACCCAAGTTACAAATATCATCTAATGGTTCTGGCATGAAACCTTCTCTGTATAGAGCCTGCAATTTTTCAAGAGAAAAATTATAAGTAGACGAAGTGCAAGAGAAATTGGTACTTAGGTGATAAGGGGTAAATTTAAATGCTATTCAAGTAGACACAATGATGTTCACACGCTTTAATCCTTGACCAAATATACTTATGATCAGTCAACTGCTAGTCATAAGAAACCATAAAGAAGAACACACACACAGAGCATAACAATACGTACCTGCAAGCTTAGAAGATTACTAGTGACAACCTAGGCACTCATAAGAACCTGTCAATCTAGGCATCCCTTGTGCTAGCAACAACTATGGTGAAAGTGTGTGAAAACATCATAATCAAATAAACAGCATACATCAGGTAATGATGACTAGTTAACCACAAGAACACAAACCCAGAAATGCATAAATATCATGCAATGACTAGTCAACTATCAAGAACACATCATAATCAAATAAACAGCACACAACATATAGTGATGACTAGTCAATCGCAAGAACACAAACCCAAAAATACATGAACATCATGCGATGACTAGTCAACTATCAAGAACACAAACCCAGAAAATTACAGAGCTACAAACCAGAAATTGTTCACCCAGAAACCCACCACTGGGAAAAACTGGGGGTCATCAACCGACCATGCAATCCACTAAGCAAAGAAACACAAGCAAGCTCAAGAAATCATAGATCTATTTAAGAAGATAAGTTATACCTCATTTATGCAATCTTCTTCTCCAACTTAGCAAAACCAGAAGCTTAGTCTTCATGACAATGGCAGCTTCTTCTTCAGCTCTTTCATCCCATGGCACCAGCTAGCCAACTCAAACTCAAACAGAAACCAAAATTTGGATTCAAGGAAGAATGACCAATTTCTTCAAGAAACCATACTCTTGAAAGAACCAATCTTGAATCTGACCTAGATATATATATATATATATATATATATATAAGAATGTGTTTGTTTTAGCTAAATGCAGGTTTTATATTTCAAAAGCAGTTTTAGAAATTCAATTTAGAAAACTCATAGATGAAATAGTGGTTTTCTCTTGAGGAAGAAGAAGCAAAAGGATGGAGGAAACCTTTTCAAAACTTTCCCTCAAAAGTGACGGCTGCCAAATGAGGAATTCTTTGGCTTTTACCCAAAAATTCATTGGTCAGAATAGACACATGGCAGCTAAGAAATTCGCAGAATAGGACAAAAAGATGGATAGGATCCAGCTGGAAATAGTGAGCTGGAAATCCTACTGATGCAAAGGTTGACTAGTCATACGAAGGAAAGATGACTGGTCATAATCTTCAGAAATTTAGTGAATGCAATGTAGTGTAATGCAGAATTTACCTTTGTCAAACACATTGATTATCCATTAGATTGTAGCCAGATAAGAAAACCTAGAGAAGTAATTCTAATCTAACTAGAGCTTGGAAAAATACAATGATTGTCCTATTACAAATTTGTCAAGTGAAGCCAAAAGAAAATCACAAAATGCATACACTTATAGTAAGAACCTGAACCTTTTAAAAAAATTACAGTAATGACAACTTTAGCATACATGATAGTGTAACTTTACCTTAGTGGTTTGTTCATTTAGAATAACAACTTTAGCCCTGCATATATTGCAAAGAAGCTCAAGCACACAGACAAAGTCATCTACCTCAGAGCACAGAAAGATCTCAACTTTCCCTAAACTCTTTAGTCCCCCCAAATTTTGAGTTTTCATCAAATCGCCTTCCCATTTAAAATCCTTAAGATTTGGTGCCAAAATATTCAATGATGTGCTGCTCGGTGATGAAACATTTATCCAAGAAATATCTATATCTTGAAGTTTCTCACTAGTAATGTTAAGATGGGAAATGTCCTCATCAATACCAGAAACCAGCTTAAATGATTCCAGAGACGAGCTGTTAATGGTGACCTTTCCTATGAATTTAAATGTACTAAGTTGTAATTGCTTAATGCACTTGCAAGAACTTGAGATCCATTTACAGTACCACTCATCTATCCAAACCTCTCTCAACATCAAGTGCTGGAGATCAGAGGAAAAACATGATAGGGATGGAAGAATGTTCCCACGCAAGTTCACCGATAGGGACCTTATAGACAGACAACTATAGATGCAAGATGAGAAGGACAAAATGGTTTTACCACATTATGTGAAATCAAGGTCAAGCTCTTCAAATTTACACCTTATTGCATTCTGAATCCACGTGATCACTTGAAAATGCTCATTAACAAGCTCCCATGTAGTTTCTTCTGTTAAATATCAGAGAGACGGGCTAGCGGCCCACTACCAGCAACACTGATATTGTCCCAAACTTAACTATCTACAAAGCTCAATAGATATGGGGTTTTATCACAAAAGGCCTCGGTAATATTAGTAGTGGAACCATTCATTATATATTTTATTTTATTTAGTCAAGTTTCCAATATGAGACTTATATTCTTCAACACGGCCCCTCACATGGGACCACCACATAGTGGGCCACGCGTGGAGCTAACTTCGCATCGGAGTCAATCATTTAAGCCCAACACTTGAACACCACATATTGGGTAAAGATAAAGGCTTAATACCACATTTAGGTCTAGTCAATTAACCCGCTTTGATACCATGTTAAATTTCAGAGAGACAGTCAGCAACCCACTATTAGCAACACCGATATTGTTCCTAACTTAACTACCTACAAAGCCCAGTAGGTGTGGGGTTTTATCACAAAAAACCTCAGTGATATTAATAGTGGAACCATTTATTATATATTTTATTTTATTTTATCAAGTTTTTGATTTGGGGCTTATATTGTTCAACACGCCACCTCACGTATGACCACCACATAGTGAGCCACACGTGGATCTAAGTCCACATCGAAGTCAAACATTCAAGCCCAACACGTGAGCACCATGTATTAGGTAAGTGTAAACATTCAAGCACAACATGTGAACACCACATGTTGGGTAAGGGGTAAGGGTAAAGGCCTAGTAATTCGGGTTCAATCAATCAACCCACTTTGATACCATGTTAAATTTCAGAGAGACGGGCCAGCGACGCATTACTAGCAACACCAATATTGTCCCTAACTTAACCACCTACAAAGCCCAATAGGTGTGGAGGTTTATCAAAAAAGGCCTCGGTGATATTAGTAGTGGAACCATTAATTATATATTGTATTTTATTTAGTCAAGTTTTCTCATGTGAGACTTATATTCTTCAACATCTTCTTCTAACAATGACCGACGAATGTGAAAACGCTAAATCCTAATTTTACCATGATGAGCGAAGAACCTTTCCAAAGAATCATTATAAACCTAGGGTTTCATTTCACATGTGTAATTACACATATGCCCTTAACTAAAGTTGACTTGACTTTTTTGGTATTACATTTTACTCACATGAGGTGCCAACTTTGGAAATTTAAGATTTTGGAAAGTTGTAATGTTAAATCGATGTTGTGAATTTAGTGCAATGTTAGACCTTCATTATACGACCCGTCAATTCAATCGTTAATTAATAATGTACCAAATATAGACTCTACAATTTTATGGATGCAGATACCAAATGTGTACCAGGCAAGCAATATAAGAGAGTTACGACGACAATGAGACGCAAATGAAAGTATCAAGATTATAGAATTGAGAAACAAAATTTAAGGACCAAATTGAACCTAGAGTACTAATATAACAATAAATTGAATATTAATGAGAACTTGAAACATTTGTGACACTTTAACATACTATCACTGTTCAAATAGCCAAGAGAACCTAGTTAATTGTTAGAGCATCCACATTGGGGGGGTGTAAATTCGGGGGTGTAAAGCCACTTTTACATTCCCTTTACACCTCCAGAGGGTGTAAATACGTTTTTTGCTCCAATGGAAAAAGATGTAAATTTAATATGTATAATTTTTCCTCTCTTTTCTTGGGTGGGTCCCGCCTGCAAAAGATGTAAAATTAGATGTAAATGTACATTTTATTTTACATCTCCATGGTGGTGATGTATATTTATAACCCTTTATATCTCCCCACTGGAGACGATTCCTGTGACAAGGGGTGTATATTTAACATACACCCTCCTATTGTGGATGCTCTTACTTGGTTGAAATGATAGAAAAACAAGATTGTGGACAATATCACATCAATAGTTTTTAGCAAAAGAGAGAGAAGTAATAAAGCAAATCAATTGAATTGAAACTACAACACAATCAGTTACCCATTTCCATATTAGAAAAATTGATATACTTGATGCCTAAAAAACAAAATGAAGCAATTAATATGTTGGTACCATCATTGACCAAGCCACTGGAGGAAATGTCACAAAAACAACATCGGTGTATTATAAGAAGTGAGGACTTCCACTCACAAAGTTTTTTCTTCGATGCCCGTTTCTTGGAAAGCAGTTTTGCTAGGTCTAAAAATAACTGCAAAGTATTTGAAGGCACATAACATATAATAGGACACTATTACACATAACATAATAAAACCCAATACTTTCACCAATGCAGCAAATATGTTAAATTGAACATATACATATTCTTACTCGAAGCCATCAAACTCCTATTCCTATGCACCAAATGGCGCAGCCTCATATGGGTTTGGGGCCAACGGCTATGGTAAGCCTAATTCGACTGTAAAAATTAGGTTTGCCCACTTGGTTTTTGATCAACAAGAGCGGGATAATTTCCAACTTTCCCCATATTTTCAAAGTGGAAAAAGATGAATCACTACATTAAGAGCTAATTGATGCCCTTTTTAAGACTTGTGAAACATGTCTATCCTCTCTCTTAAGGTTTTGTATGTGCATGTTATGAACTCCGTTTTGTTTCATAATCACAGAACGTGTATATCTACTGTTATATGTGATGGGTTGTCTCTGACCACACACAGATATAATTACTACAAACAGTTTGATTGATGTGTTAAAGCCAACTAACTTGGCAATTCCTTCATTCCATTCAATTCCTATGATCCATTTCTGAGTATAAGGGAAAGATGGGGTCTTTGTCATCTCAAAAGGGCACAAGCTACCCTAACATGATTTGTGTGGTTGCCTAAAGTCCATAGTGAATTCTCAGTTCTTGAATTTGGCAAGAGATCTAGGACATTATTACACATAACATAATAAAACCCAATACTTCCACCAATGCAGCAAATATATTAAATTGAACATATACACATTCTTACTCGAAGCCATCAAACTCCTATTCCTATACACTAAATGGCGCAGCCTCATATGGGTTTAGGGCCAATAGCTATGGTAAGCCTAATTCGACTGTAAAAATTAGGTTTGCCCACTTGGTTTTTTATCAACAAGAGCGGGATAATTTCCAACTTTCCCCATATTTCCAAAGTGGAAAAAGATGAATCACTACATTAATTGCTAATTGATGCCCTTTTTAGGACTTATGAAACATGTCTATCCTCTCTCTTAAGGTTTTGTATGTGCATGTTATGAACTCTGTTTTGTTTCATAATCACAGAACGTGTATATCTACTGTTATATGTGATGGGTTGTCTCTGACCACACACAGATATAATTACTATAAACAGTTTGATTGATGTGTTAAAGTCAACTAACCAAGCATTTCCTTCATTCCATTCAATTCCTATCATCCCTTTCTGAGTATAAGGGAAAGATGGGGTCTTTGTCATCTCAAAAGGGTACAAGCTACCCTTAACATGATTTGTGTGGTCGCCTAAAGTCCAAAGTGAATTCTCAGTTCTTGAATTTAGCAAGAGATCTAGCTACCGCTGTGTTGTAATTTCTCTCTGTGTTTTTTGTTATGTTTTCGTTTCTTTCTGTTCGGGAAACTTCTTTGTTCTGTGTCTTTTGTGGGGGCTTAAAGCCTTTAGGGTATCTTCTTTCTTATTCCCTTTTGTAATTCTTTTGGTTCTGTGCTAATAAAATTGTTTATCCTCAAAAAAAATATATACAAGAAAGAATTCTCATTCTCATTTTTTCTTTTGTAACAGTATGCAGTGAACCATCATCAAACTCCTATTCTTATGCACCAAATGGTGCAGCCTCATATGGATTTGGGGCCGACAGCTATGGTAAGTCACTCAATATCTTTCAGCATCCTAGCACAACATGCTAGGGGACTTGGAAACTACTTGATCTTTTATTCCAGGTCCCCTCCCTCCAAGATCCTTCTTAGTCTAAGACTTGAGGCAACTAGAGATAGTGCACCATACGACTTGAAAGAGGAACTCACGATGTTGATCGACTAGTATGCTCAAGATTACAAGTCCCCAACCAAGAAGTACTTTCTTACTCGGGAACTTGAGGGACTCATAGCAAAATCCCAAAAAGTTAGTTCGTCTTCTTCTTCCTCTCAAAAGAAAAAGAAAAACCTCCATAACCTCCATAGCCTTCTTCTTCCTGTCCATAGCCTTTTCTTTTCTCTCAAAAACCTTCTCATTCTCTTTCCATAACCTCCATAGCCTTTTCTTTTCTATCAAAAACCTTTTATTTTCTATGAAAAGACATTCTCATTCTCTTTCCATAACCTCCATAGCCTTTTCTTTTATGTCAAAAACCTTCTCATTCTCTTTCCACGGTGATGACGATCTAGTTATTTTCGGAAAAGATTGATGAAGACTCGATTCGACATAAATTGGATTGAGACTTTGTTGCATGCTGGGAGATATATTCAATGTGATCCCTTGCAATCAAGAAAAAGAAGCACTACTATTGAAATTGGGAAATTTTGGTATCGGGGTCAAGAGCTTTCAAAAACTCATAATTCCAATTCTAATGGGTTGATACAAAAGTTCATCAATGGGCTAAAGCTTATTCATAGCAAGGTTAGGGACGCATCAACTTCCAAGGACGACCCTTCCAGTTCTGCTTCCAAGGACAACCCTTCTGCTTTTGCTTCCACTTCCAAGGACGAGGCTTTGGCTTCAGCTTCCAAGGACCCTTCCGCTTCCACTTCCAAGAAAGCGGAGAAAGAATGTTTCTTGAAAAATCTTTTCAAGAAAGAAGTGAATCCAGATCCAGAGCTAGAGCCAGAGTAGCAAGGTGTCCATCCAGAGCCATAACCAATTTTCCAGGAAAAAGTCGAGCTAGATGACCAATTTGAGGTGGAATTTGATAGGGACCGCGTCCTGAGTGAAATTTTGGAGGTAATGAATGATCTAACCGCAATCTTGGCACAAATTGATGATCTTAGGGCAGTGACAGAAAAATCTAATATGCCTTTTGTGGTTCAACTCAAGAAGAAATTTTTTTGGACGCCGTCAAAACATTGGGTTATCAGATATGTTGTCTCAAATTGATGAAGAACTGTTTCCAGAAAAATTATGAATTGGACGTAGAAATGAGTGAACTATGGGGCAAGTATGCTACCCCACACAGCAAATGATAACGAGTTTTTGAGTGCTGCATATTCCAACTAACAAGCTGGTCTTATTTTCATTAACCCTTGAAGAAACACGAGTAGCTTAAGGTTCTGCTTGAAGTGGATGCTTCTGGATGTGTAATTCCCACAAACACAAGAGCAATGGATACAGAACCAAAGCTGCCCACTATTCTCCTCATCATTGGATATTTTGTATATTGCAACAACATTATGAGGATTAGTACTTTTCCAGCACTATCATACAGGTTTTGGTGTCATTTGATATTTTGTATATTGCAGCAACATTATCAGCATACAAGTTTTGGTATCAGAGCAGGTTACCCACGTGTGAAAGCTCAACGGCCACACATGCTCCATGTCACCCAAAATGTGTTGTCCACATGATACGCTTGAAAATTAACAGCACATGCGGGGGCGTGTGAGAATGGGAAGGTAAAGAGTCCCACATTAGAAAGTTAGAAAACCTTGCAAGGGCTTATAAGGAGTTGGGCTACTCCTCCCATTTCTCCGGTTGTTCACGGCGTCGCTACGGCTGATTCCAGCCGCCATCTCCTGCAACCAAGGTACGTTTTCTCACCTATTCCTTACGCTCTAGCTGCCTGTTGTGTAGGATTTGGATGATAGTCGTGTTTAGAAACTCGATTTAGAATTTAAGTTTTGGCCGGATTTCGGGATGAAATTTCGGCCATTTCCGGTCAGTTTTTGGGGTATGCCCAAGAACAAAAGTGACTCCAAATAGGGTGTTATATCTAGGATAGGAATCTTGAGCCGTGATTTGAGATTTTCCGGCGAAGCATAATAGCTTTGGACACCCACGCGCTGCCGGCACGTGTAGCGGTGCGTGGGCACTGTAGAAAAAGAGCATTATGTCCCGATGTAATCCCCTGGTCCTCCCAAGTGCGTAGGTGTGCTCGGATTTCTATTTGGATACCATTTGACTCTCGAACGGATATCGCATATTACGTGTTATCCGGGTTCAATAGGTTTGGACCGTTGGATGATCTTAAATTTATTATATGTTAGTCTGGACATCCTTAGGATCGTGCAGGATCTGACGTATCGTAAAACGGAGTTTCGGATACTCCGGAAATGCCAACCCTAGGGCTAGGGTTTCAGTAACCGTCCGATCGTGCGATTGTGAGCGATCCGACCGTCCGATCTGGACCAAACTTGCAGGACGTGTGTCCTAGACCTTGTAGAATTTATAGGAACTTTCGTATTGGAATTTGGAGGTCATGTGCCCCGTGGGCCCGTTTGACCAAGGTTGGGTAGTTTGACCCTAGGTTGACCGTGAGACTTCTTAGGTAGTGTTACCTTCCTAGGAAGAGTAAAATGACCATAGTGACAGGCCTTGATTGTATGTTGAACATGTGGGATTAGGATATTAGTTTATGGTGCTAAATTGGGGGAGATATTGTGATATGTTTGTGAGGTTGCACGTGTCATAGGAGTAGCCAGCGTGTTGACAGACCCTATATGTGGCGTTAGTAGTACCGGCATTTGGGGGGATATTGTGTTATGTTTGTGAGATCGCACATGTCGTAGGAGTAGCCGACATGTTGACAGACCCCATATGTGGCGTTGCTAGTACCGGCATATGGGGGGATATTGTGTTATTCTTGTGAGGTCGCACGTGTCGTAGGAGTAGCCGACATGTTGACAGACCACATGTGGCGTTGGTAGTACCGGTATATGGGGGGATATTGTGTTATGCTTGTGAAGTCGCACGTGTCGTAGGAGTAGCCGGCGTGTTGACAGACCCCATATGTGGCATTGGTAGTACCGGCATATGGGGACATATTGGGGGACATATTGTGCTATGATAATGAGGTCTCACGTGTCGTAGGATTATCCGGCGTGCGGACAGGCCCCATACGTGGCTTTGGATGTTCCGGCGTATGGGGAGATTTTGTGAGTATTTGGGAGATAAATTAAAGATTGTGATTGGTGAGTTGTGATTTAAAGAAAAAGGGTTTTAGGAAAGAACTACGTGTGGCTTGATCCCTCAGTAAGGGTACGTAGGCAGCCTAGGGTAGTGCCTAGGTGCAGTCGCGGGCTAAACTTTGCTCATGTTGTTTTACTGGGATTGGTTTGGACTTTGTTATTGGTCCTGAAATTTTGGTGAAAATGAGATGCAGTTGTGTTAGGAGGTTAAAACCTCGTTTGATGGTTGTTTGGGAAGTTACTCTATATTGATTAAAGGAGGCTTCCATAAATAAGTTTGAGTTTGTTATACTCATTGTTAAATGCATTAATTTGATTTAAGAACATTGCTGACAGTTCTGTTTCAAATCATTTGAAGGCCGGAGGCCATTTTTGTGAATTGCATGAAATTATATTGTGTATGCTGCCTATTGGGATATTAAATTGTGAATTTTGTGTAGGTTGAAATTTGGGGAATGTTCAATTTATAGGGGAGACTTTGCCGAATTTTCGGCAGAAAGTCTCGTGCCCTTATTCCTCTTTGGCAAAAAAGGATATAGTTTTAGTGAGTGGGCCCGACATCGGGGTGATGTCGAGAATTCCACAGGATTCTTCCCGGGTTTCGAGAAATTTGGGGAGGGTCCTGTCATGGGTCAACTGATGTTGTTCCTTGTGATTCATGCAAAGACGAGTTTGATACAAGACCATCTTCTGTCCTGCCATTGCTCCAGTCAATCATGCTAATGAGTCAAGTGAGGTAATGTATGATGATCTAGCTGTGTCTACTTATCAATTACCCCCATGAACTACTCGTGGGAAACGCGAAGTACAATATTCTCCTGATATACATGCCAAATTTAAATATCTCATTAGTCATTATGTGACAACTCATCGTTTATCTAAGTCACTGCATCATATTTGTGTCAATTATCTAATGTATGTGTGCCAACTAAGCTGCAGGATGCTCTAACTAACCTCAAATGGATAGATGCCATAAAGGTGGAAATGGATGCATTGAACAAGAATGAGACATGGGATTTAGTTCTTTTGCCATGAGGAAAGAAAGCAGTTGGATGCAGATGGGTGTTTCCTATGAAGCATAAGGCTGATGGTTCCGTTGATAGTTGTAAGGCTAGATTGGTAGCAAAGGGGTATACCTAGACCTATGGAGGGGATTATTTGGAGACCTTTGCTCCAGTGGCAAAGCTCAATACTGTTATTGTGCTTTTATCCCTTGCTGCTAACCACGATTGGTCCTTATTGCAGTTTGATGTCAAAAATGCATTTATACATGGTGACCTCAAGGCGGAGATTTACATGGATCTAGTATTCCTGTAACCACTAAGGAGGGTGTTGTTTGTAAGCTACGGAAGTCCTTGTATGGATTGAAGTAGTCTCGAAGACCATGGTTTGGAAGATTTGCTACATATTTCAAGAAATTTGGGTATGTGCAAAGTAACTCAGACCATACTTTGTTTCTAAAACGTCACAAAGGTAAATTGACGGCTTTAATTATTTATGTTGATGATATGATTATGACTGGAGATGATCAAGCAAAAATGCAAAATCTGGCTTCCGAGTTTGAGATGAAATCATTTGGTGATTTAAAGTACTTTCTTGGGATTGAAGTTGTCAGGTCTAAACATAGTATCTTTTTGTCCCAAAGAAAGTATATTTTGAATCTACTTGCAGAGACTAGAATGTTGAATTGAAAATCAATTGATACCCCTAGTGAACGGAATCATAAGTTAAGGTTGTATCCTGATCAAGTTCCTACAGATAAAGAGTGTTATCAATGACTTGTGGGAAAATTGATTTATTTAGCTCATACACGTTTTGATATTGCATATGCAGTGAGTGTAGTGAGTCAGTTTATGCATTCTCGTAGTGAAGATCATATGGGTGTTGTGGTGATCATTTTGAGGTATCTGAAAGTAACCCCTGGCAATGGATTAATGTTTTGCAAGTATGGTCATACAGATGTGGAAGGGTATACAGATGCAGATTAGGCTGGTTCAGTTACGGATAGACGTTCCACGTCTGGTGATTTCACATTCGTTGGTGGTAATCTTGTTACTTGGAGGAGTAAAAAAGAAAAAATGGTGTCTAGGTCTAGTGCTGAGGCCGAGTACCGTAGGATGGGTCAAGGGGTGTGTGAGTTACTATGGTTGAGAAGATTGTTGAGAGATCTCGGGTTTAGACCTCAGAAACCCATGGATTTGAATTGTGAAAACAAAGCTGCAATTGCAATTGCGCATAACCCTATTCAACATGATCGTACAAAGCACGTGGAGGTTGATCGACATTTTGTTAAAGAAAAGTTGGATGCTGGAATTATTTCTTTTCCATTTATATCATTCGAGAATCAATTGGTAGATGTTCTTATGAAAGCTGTGTCTACTACGATCTTCCTCGACTCGCTTGACAAGTTGGGCATGCGTGACATCTTTGCTCTAACTTAAGGGAGAGTGTTAGCGATATCCTAGACTAATTAGTATATTTATTTCCTACTATATTAGGACTCTATTTCTTTCCTTTTGTACAGATATTGTGTAATTAGGATTTTATCTTGTTTCCTTGTTTGACTATGCTAGGGTTACATCCTTGTATTATAAATACCTCCTTTTGGATAATGAAATACAACCTGAAAATATTATACCCATATTGTTTGACTGACAATCGCTCATTTTTTGGTCATTCGGTAGATTTGAAACCAAAGCCTCCAATTCAAGT